CCGGATGTTTTAGTTTGTGTCTGTGCCCGACTTCCAATCCAGCACAGGTTAATCTGTGCCGCATGCTCCGGTGTTCAGAAAAATTAGAAGCCTTGCGATCAGCTGCAGCGGAACGGTAAGAAGCTGGTGGAAATTGACACATCAACTCAAATGGTTACGATCAGCTACGAATGGTGGATACGGCCTTTTCGTAGCAGTTCCGGATGCAGAGGAAATTGCACTTTACGGATCACTGTGCAGAAGTACACTATAGTGTATCTTGCTTTTATGGGATATATAAAGGCATCAGATTTGACGTCATGATGAAACTTGTATTGCTCTTAACTGCCCAATATAGATTTAGCCAAACAGCCATGTGTGACCTGGAAGACGACAACAACAACAACAATGGTGGACTGCCCAGTTGTGTTTCTGCTGTTGACTCTGGTCCAGAGTTAGTTGCCCCACTTCTTCGTCTGTTCAGACAAAGTTGTTGGTTTTCGACTGGGCTCGCCATCGTCTTTGTTGTTTGATCGCACTCACTGAAAGTTGAACAAAGCCCTTTGTGTGGATCCTGTGTATTCTTCAGTGCAGTTTCATTTCAAAGTAATACCCCTAACTACTAGCCTGGCATGCATATTCCTGTGTTGTCAGTAGTTTCTGCAGAGGGGATTGTGCACGTGGAGTGTTTCCCAACGTTGTCATATAAAAGCAGATTTTTGTAAAAGCACAAAAGAAAGGCTTTGCAGTTTCTGATGGGTCAAAACAGTCCCTTGGAGATTGTTGAAAGCCCAAGTTTTTAGTCTTATTTAAGGAGTTTGCTAGTCCAGACCACAGACCCGAAGAGCCACAACAAACTTCTGGTATATGAGGACTTGGAAAGAGTGAAAACAGCATTTTAATGCCCAGTGCTGCTGTGTGAACATAACTTCAGCCATGTAGTGTGGTGATGTCTGAATTATCCTGCCTGCTGCTGTCTCATTAAAAAGTCAATTATTTGATCCATGGTTGTGGAGGTGATAGAGGTTGGAGGCCTGAGTGCTTTGTCAAGTGATTTGTGTGTGTCGAGTATTTAAGTGGTAAACTACCCCAACCCCCACCTGTACACACACACAAACATCACCCCTGTCTCCACCGTAACTGTCCGCTGACACACACACACTACTACTCTCTCACACTTTGCTTTTCTCTGACACACACAGACACACAAAGGCCTTCTTCCTGAGGACAATAGTTGTGCAGCGAGGTGAGACTGCAGGAGGAAAAAGCATTTATCCAAGCGGAGTAGTGCTGATGACCCTCCCTGCTGGCTTTCTCTTGCTCTCTTTCTCCCTCGGGGTGAACGCAGGAAGCTTTTCTGTCGGCTGGACACAGTCAGAGAGGGGGGGTGTCGGAGAGGGGGAGGGTTGCAGGGTTAGCAGCAGGCGGACCGCTGTCACACCACACACAGCTTTTTCAGTACACAGGCTGTACTTTTGACATGTGTCTACTGACATTACCCATGATGCCGCCCTCCACCCCTTCTCCCCTGGCTAGGGTTGTCTCCTCGCCTCACAGGGGTAATGGTGTGTGAGACAGGTCGAGAGAGGGAGAGGGAATATGCTGTGCCTCTGTGTGTGTGTGTGTGTGTGTGTGTGTGTGTGTGTGTGTGTGTGTGTGTGTGTGTGTGTGTGTGTGTGTGTGTGTGTGTGTGTGTGTGCGAGTCACAGAGAGAAAAACTCAAACTCAGACAGGTTAGTGAGAGAGAGGAAGAGCTTTGTGCCTCCGCTGTTTGAGAAATTTCAAGTTTGATGGTGTTTTGTTTTTGCAAGTTTTCTCACAAGCATTAAAGTTTGTGTTCACAGATACGTCTGGTGTCCATCATGTAAAATACTATTTCACATGCAGAGCTCGTTCCTCCTCAGATCTTCTCAGCGCATTTTTGTTTTCTTGAAATGATCAAATAGAAATAATGTTCACCACAGCCTCCCAGCTAAATAGCTTTGTATGCTCATTATCTTTCCAGCGTCCTGGTAGACCTGGAGCGAGGGCTGTTTTTACGACTTTTCTGCAGTTTTATAGAGCTGTGAAAGGTGCTGTTTTCCTCAGATGATTTGGGAGCTTTCATGTTGACAGATACCTTAAGAGGGGCTGCAACTGTTGTTGACACCTCTTTGTGATACAATTAATTGGACATTATGTTCCACACTTGCTCTTATTTGGGTATCAACTTTTCATTGAAACAGCACTTTAAATTTTCAACATGGTAGTAAACATCTATACTTTAAGATTTTAAGGTGAAGGACTAAAGCTGTAAAACTCCAGCAGATTGGTGTGAACTCAGACTGTTGAGCTGAATGTCACAGATGATGTTGAAACCATAGATGATTGTTGCACCTACTCTTTAAATACTTGAAAATCTGCTTCACAAGTAGATCTTGTAAAGTAGACAAGATCTACTTTACAAATTTTGCCGGCAGCTTTTTTTCCTTGCAGCGTTAAGAATGAAATTCTCCCAGACTTCAGAAGTTATAAGACATGACAGGGTTGTGTTGACAGCCATGTTGCTATATATTTTTTTTTACCTGTCACCTCCTGGTTTCTGTTTTCGACCACACTCAGCAGAGATAGTAAAGATGCAAGATGGTTCAGCGTCAAAACATGCACCCTCTGCAACTGTTTTTTGTAATCCATTGCTGTCAGCATGGATGACATATTGTTTCACCCTAAACTCAAAACATCTATGGTCAAGTGCATCGGCATTAAACATCAAATCAAACCAAAATAAGTTCATGTCAACTGTGTTTTGATTGAAAAATCTGTCATCCTTCTTTGCTTGAAGTAGCAGAAGTGAATGCATCCAAGCTAAAAAAGGATCGTAATCCAAAGCTAAAAGTGGTGACAGAATTCGCACTACAATGCATTAAAGGGATATTCCGGCGTAAAATTAAGTTAGGGTCAAACACACCATAATAGCGAGTGTGACACCCCCTCAAGAGATGAATGTTTCTGACCGTTTGCTTCTCTAGTTATATCAACTTTAGTAACGACCGCACGATAGCAATACACAGTGGTCTGAGGAGCCACGCGCTCAACTAAAACACCACTCTATAGCCACAAATAATGCTCAGAACAGCACCTAACTTCATCAAGAGTACATATAGGGTCCCAGCCATAGCACTAGCCACCAAACATCTTTTTAACTTTGTCTAATTTGTTTAGCAAAGAGACCAAACACAACTCACCGTCTCTCTTCCAACAGCCGCTTGTTTGTAGCGAGACCTACAGCGGGGGTGACGCAGCTCAAAGAAGATTATTTATGATCATTTCTTCATGGAAATGCAATCAGACTGAGATGCTAAGGCAGAGGAACTACCGCGTCTGCAAATGATTAATATGATGATAATTACTTCAAGGAAATGATCATAAATGTTCTTCCTTGAGCTGCGTCACCCCGCTGCAGTAATGGACTGAAATATCCCTTTAAAGCTTGGATTACTAAAATTACTTCTTGGCAAAGGCATATAAACATCATTATGATCAGAATAATGGTCTCAATTAACAAACAACCTCATCTGTATTGCTGACCCTTTCCTGACATTAAAGCTAGATTTTTATTTTTTCACTCAGAGCGATTGATTGAAACTTCTGGTTGAAATTGTGGTCACAGCCTAAAGTGAAGGGGTTTGAATGTCCCGTTGTTAAAGAATAAATCCAAGATGGAAGGTGATATTCTAAAACAGACCCTTAAATATGGTTTTAGATGTACAAGCTTTATCATAGGTATTTTATTCATCAGTCGAACTCTGTTGTTTTAAACTGTCATTATTTCTGGACAGCTCAGGAACATAGATGTGTTATCGATTGGAAGAAAGATTGAAACTGAGAAAAACTGAAAGCACTCATGCCATCCTTTATGAAGTGTAGCATTGTAAATCATCAGTGACAGACTTGGCTGGTTATCTGATTAGTCCCACTGAGTCAATCCAGTTTTGTTAAAGCAGCCTTGTACTCAGTCTGATGTTTCCACCGCTGCTTTGAATTCCTGTTGGCCCCCCTCGCTCTGCTCAGACACTGAATGGACAGTTTCCCCTTTCGCCTCTCGCTTTGCATAAAGCCCATAGAAATCCCAGGAACAGGCTCACACTCATTTGCCTGTCACATTAACTTGGCACCTCACTTTAAACACTGTGACCCCCCTAAACAAATGACCTGTTCATACAGCACAAAGCCCGCTGCCTCTCTGACAGGTTTCCGGCTTCATTTCACTTCTCGCTCTCGACAATGACCCCCACTGACCTCCTCTTCCTCTTCTTTGTGTTTGTTTTCTTTTAGTGGTTTGTCACTTTACGTCATTCCTTCACTTCAAACTATGGAGATGCCTATTTTAAGAGTATTTCAAATATAAATGTAATCCACTTTAAAAACAGACCATTGCTGCGTTTTTTCTTGCTTTGTCCAAGTAAATTGTTTCATTCAATTTAGCGGTGAGGCTTTGAACAAATGTCATTTATATCAAGACATGATCATCTACAGCTCCCTTTTCATCTGCTTCAGTTATTGTGTTTTTAAAAGGGAAACAGCGTCCGTAAAAAAAAACAGAGAAATGAACTTGAGTTTAAAGACAACAAAAAGACAGTCCTGATTAGTCACTTGTTAGTAGCGCACGCATGAAATGACACAGACATTAATCTTGTGAGAAATCCCTCCAGGCAGGGGAGTGTCTTTGAACGTGACTTCAGTTAATGTTTGTTATGAGACAGTTACTGCGTAAGGTTACAGTTGAACCACAGGACGTCGAACTACTTATTTACCAACTTCCATGTGATACAAGTAATTTATGGCCTTGTGGGTTGAGGGTGTGACTTAATGAGATGTTATAGACATATTCATATAATGAGATTAATCTAAGAGTTGAGTGTTTGTGGTTATCAAAGGTATATAACAAGAAAACACACAAACTAGTGTCTGCATGCACAGACATGCGCACACCGCTGCAGTGTACAGTCAGGGGAACTCACTAACTCCTACGTATTTAGTCAGCGTGGCAGTCATCTGCTCCTCAATGATGATAGTTTAAACTGTAATGAGAGTGATAATAACAACTATTCCTCTGTGTTTTCTGTTAACTCTTTTTTAGTGAAGAGTTTTCCTCTCAATCTCCTCTAAGTGGCAGTTTTGCCCTCTGATCCTAATTATCTATAAGAACGTCCTGGTTACAGCTCACACACTGATGGAGGAGAAGGGAAGGAAGCTTATAATCATGTTCAATTAGTGCTCCTTCACATTTTATCCTAGCCCTTGCACTGGGCTAATTACTTATTTGTACCAATTATTTGCTTTGCTGAGCCTGTTAACCCTCCTGTTCACCTTGGCAGTTAAAACGATTTCAGGATGTGAGGAACGTTTTACACTTTCTCTTTTTCACTTCTCGTGAGAAGAAACTCAGCTCTCTGCTGTCTCTGCGTCTGTGAACTGATGTTCCTCTGTCGATCACCGTCCATTACAGAGCAGATTTTCTTCCACGACTGCATGATCGGGTCAATACTTATCCTCTCACCTCTTACGCCTCATTTCTCTTATCCAGAAATGATCCAATTTGACTTAAAGATCAAATATCCTTCTCACAGCAAACAGCAAAGCAACATTATGAGCATTTCTCTGTCATAAATAACAAAGGATAAAGCATGTTTGTCTTCTTGGTTGTTTCCACCCCCTCAGCTTCAGTGTGGGTGATGGAGCAGTCGATCGATTCTGCAGTCAGGGTTTGTTTGTTTGTTTACATTATGCATCTTATTGCTGATATTCTTGCCCTTTGGGAAATGCTGAAAAATCACCAAAAGACAACTGCAAAAATCGAGCAAAAGATTTGACAGATAATTATCAAACTTTAAACACTGAAACAGTGAAATATTACGACGGAGTATTAGGGCCAAATTAAGAGAAAGAAAACTTTAGACTTCAAGATTAAAGTTGTTAATTTACGAGAATAAAATTATTACTAACGAGAATTAAGTCATAATTAAATCATTTAATACGAGAATAAAGTCATAATAAAGTGATTACTTACAAAAATAAAGTCGTAGTAAAATCATTATGATACTTGTGATGTGCCAAAAGATCCTTGCTTAAGAAACCTGTATTGAAGTACATTTTCACTAAATGCGCCTTGGCTCTCATTTCAACAACTGTCATCTCAAACAACAGGTTAGAATAAAAGGACTTTATTCTGACTTCACTCTCGCAAGTAATTACTTTATAACGATTTTATTCTCACATATAATTAGTTGATTGCTTTTATTACCGTGAGTAATGACCATATTACTACTTAATTCTTATTAGTAAAGATTTGATTACAACTTGATTCTCATAAGAAATAACTTTATGACTTTTTTTTTGTTGAAAAATTACTTTATTCAGACTTTTTTCTTGCAAGTAAAAATTTTATTTCGACTTTTTTCTCGCAAGTAATCACTTTTTTACGACTATTCTTGTAAGTAATCACTTTATGACTTTATTCAAATAAGTAATTACTTTATTACGACTTTTTTCTCATAAGTAATGATTTTATTACGACTTTATTCTCGTACATAACGATTTTATTACAACTTAATTCTCATAAGAAATAACTTTTTTATGACTATTTAAAAATGACTTCATTACTATGACTTTACTCTCGAAAGTAATGATTTACTTTGACTTTATTCTCACAAGAACTAGTTTTATCACGTCTTTTTCTTGCAAGTTGTTACTTTAGAACAACTTCATTCTTGTAAGTAATTACTTAATTACGACTTTATTCACGTAAGTAATTACTTTATTACGACTTTATTCTCATAGGTTATTACTTTATTAAGACTTATTCTCGTTAGTAATGATTTTATTACAACTTGATTTTTGTAATAATGATTTTCCTACGACTATATTCTCATTAGTAATGACGTTATTCTCGTTAGTAATGATTTTATTGTGACCTTATTCTCATTAGTAATGGTTTTATTACGACTTTATTGTCATAATTAATTACTTTATCATGACTTTAATTTCATAAGAAATGCTTTAATTACAACTTTATTTTCGTAAGTAATGATTTTATTACGACTTAAGTAACGATTTTATTTCAACTTGATTTTCATAAGAAAGAACTTTATGACTTTGTTCTTGTTAAAAAAATTACTTTAAGACTTTTTTCTCCTAAGTAATGATTTTACTAAGACTTCATTGTTGTAAGATATAATTTTATTACGACTTTTTTCTTGCAAGAAATTACTTTATTACAACTTTATTCTCCTAAGTAATTACTTTATTATGACTTTATTCTCATAGGTTATTACTTTATTAGGATTTTTTCTCATTAGTAATGATTTTATTACAACTTGATTTTTCGTAATCATGATTTGCTTACGACTTTATTCTCATTAGTATTGACTTTATTCTCGTAAGTAATTATTAAATTATGACTTTATTCTCATTAGTATCGGTTTTAATAGACTTTATTCTTGCTATTATTGACTTTATTCTCCTAAATTAATCTGTTAGTCTTAATTTTTTTTTATCTTAATGTGGTCATTATACTCTGTTGTAAAATATAACTTAAGGTGAGATCAAATCAACAAACTGAGGGGTGTTTTTGAAGGTCAAGATTTAGTAACAGATTCCGTCTAGAGCTCCATCAGAGGCATGACGCTCTTTGATTTTGTATCGTCTGTCAGGGTTTTGTAGTACCATGAAATCTGGTCAATCAGTATCTGCAGAAAAGTTGATTTAAAATCAGGGGTAACTTTTACGACTCTGTCCATCAAGATGACGTATGGAGAGAAAGTCGAATGTAACCGATAATGTAACGTAAGCAGACATCCAGCAGGTAGTGTTTAGAGCAGATCTGTGTAATCTGGTAATTCTGTGAGAAGTCTCTTTTTCGGAACACCTCTTGTGAAAATAGAGTCAACACTGCTGTACTTCACATTCAGTGGACAGTCAGGGAGCTGTTAGCTTTCCACAGGAGGCCTCCACCCTGACAAATAATGAATCAAATCCAGTTTAAGCATTGTTCTCACCAGGCTGTGTGATCAAAGACCAAAGGAAAGGCTTTTATAGCAGTAAAAGCATTGAATTATACATAACATAAAAACTCAATACACACACTCACACTCACACTCACACACACACACAGACACACACACAAAGCCGTCCTCTAATTTGAGCCCCTGATCCTGAGTGGGCTCTCGTGTCCAGCAGAGACTGATGAAAGCTTCTCATCTTAAGGACGGGTCAGAAGATGGAGCGAGGCCTGAACGTTATCAAAGGAACCCAAATGACCTCTGGGAGCTGAAGCACTCGCGCTTTCTACCTCCACACAAGCTCCCTTTAATCTCCACAAGCACTTGGTTATCCAGTGAGTGATGGAGAAAGGAAAGAGCTTCTCGCTTTTTATCTGCTCCTCTCTTAAAAAAGAAAAAAAAAGAAACACTCCTCTGAGTTTTTCTTCAGGCTGCTCGGTACAGCCCAGTCGATGAGCTTATAGGAGCGGATCCTGAAAAAGGGAAACACACAAAACAGAAAGATGTGGAAAGAAAGTAGTTGTTGGAAGTGGAGTATAAAACCATAAAAGGCCGGGTGAGTGTGAAAAAAAGATGAAGAGAGAAAAGACTGATCATTTTGCTCTCCATCCCCGCTGAAGGAGAGGCGAAAACAGAGGGCTGTCAGATAAACCAGAGCAAAACCTTAGCCTCTCTGTTGAAATGGAAGGAGGAGAAAAATGGAGGGCAGAGATGTCGAGGTTTCTTTCCTGGTTCTCTTTCCCCTCTGTCAAGTAAAACAAAAACACATTGCATCAGGTTATTACAAGCAGAGACTTTAGAAAGCTGAGAAACTCTGTCGGCTTTTAGCACAGACGGACAGGAAAAAGATTTAGTTATACCGGATGAACTATTGACCTGTTTTTGTTTGTTATTTTTATGCACCTTTATATTGATATTAGCAGAACATCTGAATCTAGATAACAACCAAATCCAAAACATGAAGACACATCCTGACCTTTACTGTGGCGTCTTTTCATGTTGATTCCGATTAGCTTGTAAAACCACTGCGGGACTGGTTTTCTCTTATGTCAACATCACATGAGCAAACAGACAGTTGAGATTTTTATCTTTAGGCTGTTACCTTTTCAGGCGAACACTTTTGAAAATATGCTCCAACACTTCACTATCAAGATGTAGACTCAAAGTTCCTGTAACTTTCTGCTCTGTTGTAGTATATCTGTGGATTCAAGTCTCTCATCTGTACAAGTTTCACCCCAAAGATCAGGCATGAGCAGTTGCATGCAATCTTTTCTTTTTATTTTAGGTATATTTGGAGGCACCAGTGTTTGGAAAGCAGCTCACGTTCTAGATAACCAAAAGTAAATATATTGAAAGTACATTTTGTACTCCATGTTTTAGTGTCAATCTTTGGGAAACCAAATTCTGCTCTGATTGTATTTTTTTATCATCAAACTAATAAATACCTTTTTATAAAGAAGAATAACAGACACTTTTGTTTTGTAGCAGTAAAAAAAACGTCATAGATTCATGGTCAGGTTAGGTCAAAGCACTTGGTTCATGTTAGGAAATCATCTTTTGTCCTGGTTAAATATTAAAAAGTCAACTTCAGAGCAAGATAGGACCTGTTTACTTTTTCAGGTTGGACTATTTCTCAATGTTCTACTAAAACTTCGACTTTTTATCCTCAACTGACGTGTTTTAGTTTCCAAAAGTAGACCGCAAATGATACACAAACCTTTCCTCATGTCCCATCATGACCTGTGTCATATGATTGTTTGCAATCTGAAAAGGTGGCGAGGCTTAAACGTCCCTGGAGCACATAATCCACACAGTTATTGCATTTGCTGTTACGTATACGCGGTGAAACCATTGGGTAATATATAGAAAGGTCATTTGTAGCGCTACCGATTTTACACTCCAGCTTCCAAAGATCTGTGTTCAGGTATTTGAGGAAAGATCTGAGCGTGTCTGCATGCACAGCTCAGCCATATGTACAAAGATTTCAGCCCACACAGTTAGCTGAAATACATGGCAAAGAAATCACCCCATATTGCATCCCTAAGCACCAAATCCCCCCCTCCTTCTCTCTCTCTCTCTGTCTCTCTTTCTCTCTCACTTTCTCTCACATACACAGTCAGAAATCACAGCCTTGCAGCCAGCACCCCCACAAAAGTGAAAATGAATGCACTCGCCACCTGTGGTGGGAGCAGAACAAGAGAGTGGGAAAAGGACGTGGGAGAGGAAGAAAGAGAGGAGAGAAGGAAGAGACATGGCAACCGTTCAGGGCGATGAGTCATGAAACAGGATTCAAAGACGCTGACATTAATAGTGTACATCATGAGTAATGCAATGGAAGCCTGTGCGTGACAAACTACACAACAGAAAAAGTCAAAAGTCGTGATTTCATAACCACATGCTGGTCGTGAGACTCATCTCTGATACCAGCACAAATAAACAAAATCCCAAAGTGGTTCATGTGAATCTCAGGTGTGTGTGGGAGTGTGTGAAATGCGAGTGTGACTGAATGTGTCTCTGTTGGTGCTGCGATTCAAATGAGGAAACAGAGAAGTCACTCTCTAAGTCTTTGTATGTTTGTGTTTTTTGTTTGAGGGTGTGTGTGTGTGTGTGTGTGTGTGTGTGTGTGGTTTGGCAGGCCACACAGATCCTGAGCTGAGTGTCTCATCCCTCCCACCCTCGCTCCTGTCAGCAGGCCCGAAACCACAAACCATCCCGTCTGGAAACAAAGCCATTAACTCACAACAAGCGTCTCTGTCTCACTCTCACACCTTTTAGATCTCGTCTCTCTCTCACACTTGGCTGCTTTCATCTCAGTGTGTCACAACCACCACTTTAACTGTTCTATTACCAAAATTACACCTGCTCTAACTACTTGATTTCTCTGCTGGCACTGGCATTTGCTTCCTGTTGTGTGTTTTTTAATCTTTTTTAAGCATTTTCTCCATGTTTTGGAATTTATTTATGTGGTTGATCCAGAGCTAAACTAGGTCACTGATTGAACCTGAATTTGAGGAAATATTGACACTGTTAGCTCAATAGAGAGACTGTTCAAGAGCAGGTGAACTATCACCTGCATGATGATGATCACATGACCCCTGGGGCAGGTTTGGGCTCCTCTCATGAGGAAGTAAATAATCTTTTCAGTTTAAATAGTGCAGTAACATACAAACATATGAAGGAGGATTAGGGCCACAACAAAGAGGAAAAAATAATTACAGGTGGAAGATTTTTTTAAATTCCATTTCTAGATTAAAGTCGAAATTTTAAAAAAGTCGAAATTTTTAAAAAATCCAAAATTTTGACATTAAAAACAAAATTTCAAGATTAAAAAAATTGAAATTTCGTGAATAAAGTCGAAATTTTGACTTTAATCTCATCATTTAAATTATTTTAATCTTGAAATTTCGACATTTGGTTATGACATAATTTCCACTTTAATCTCCAAATTTCATTTTTTTATCTCGAAATTTCAACTTTGACATGATTTTGTAATCACAAAATTTCTGCTTTTATGCCAAAATTCTGACATTACAAAAGTCAAAATTATGTGAATAAAGTTGAAATTTTGACTTTAACACCAACATTTCAAGTTTTTTAATCTTGAAATTTCAACATTTTGTTACGTCGAAAATTTCAAAGTTAATCTTGAAATTTCATTTTTTAATCACGAAATTTCGACTTTGACATAATTTTGACTTTTGTAATCTTAAAATTTCATCTTTAATGTTGAAAATTCGAGTTTACAAAAGTTACAGAAATGAAAGAATTACACTTTTTTTCTCTTCATGTGGCCCTAATCCTCTTTTGCATTTTATTATTTGTTTTACTTTAAATACAGATCATTTGACAGGAGATAGGAAATTACACCTAGATTTACAGGTAGGAGGGATGCTGACGGAGGGACCCAAATGGGCACCCTGAAGACCCAAAGTATAAACGGCAGGACCTTTGTAAAACAACACAAAAAACAACAACAACTGTGTTTCAACAGGCTGCGAGTAATAGAGCTTTTATAGAAACTAGGGATGTATACCACAAGTGACCACTGTCTAAGTCAGCGCCCCAGTTTGGCCACCGCATTTTAAATCTCTTGGCTCTGCCACTGATCCCTGAGAAAACCATTTCAGGAGTCTGTCATGTTGGAGCAGTGTTGTATTTTAAAATGGCTTCTGTTTGTAACACAGATTTTACTCTGCAGATTATAGTTTCTTTTAGTTTGTGCATCTTTACCTTTTTTGGCTCAGTTTGAATCGAGTGTAAAAGACTTTGTTGACAAACATCTAGTCAAGGAAAGTTCATGACCCATGAAGAGGTGAGCCAAAATGCACCATTCATGCAAACGCAGGCTGCTGAAGTCTTGAGCAATCATTAAATTTGAGCTTACAGTCCAACTTCTGTTAGAAACAGAGGAGAGTTTGATGTATGAAAGAGTAAGAAAAACTTTGATCAAAATCAAATTTGCTATGAATAAATATTTAGCTCTTGTATATAAACCTCCTCTGTGTGTGTGTGTGCTTGAGAGAAATGAGACGGTGTTACAGGCCAGACTTTTTCTTGGTCAGCAGTCAGCTGTTAATTAGTGAGCTTTGGAGCAGACTGTGTGACAGCCAAGTGAACAGTTTTTGTTCGGGCTACCATTTCTCGAGATTGTATCTCATTAAGCATTTAGACGTGAGAGCAGAGTCAAACTCAATCTTAAGAAATTAACAGAAAAAAAAACCTCCTGTAGATGTCGGGTGAAAATCCTCCTCTAAGTCATTTACTGTAAAAGCTTTCCACCTCACATATAAGCTTTCAGATGAACACAGGTGTTAAAGATTTTTGCTAACACTTTGTGAAACATCAGTCTTACAATCACAAGGAAAAGGGCCATTCTACAAAAACAGTTTTATTGATTTATTAACAACTGTACATTTCTTTTCAGTGCTGACAGCATTTGCTACATACTTTGGTGTGATTCCAGGGACAGACAAACTTTACCCCTTTTAGGATCTGTTTTGGGAAATGCTGACAGAATCAGGAGCACAGTGTACAAACCAGAATTAGTCACCGCTGCCTCAATGTCAACATGAGAGAAACTCGATATACTCATTTGTTTTAATCTCCACATGAGCGTTTACACGTCTCTCTGCCTTCCCATCACAGCTGACCAAACATGTTCCAGGAATATTGATAAGATACAATGAGCAGAAAGAGTCCAACTGCGCAGATTGGACTGTTTGAGTTGAGTCTGTAGCCAAGAAGTCGATGGTGCAATTCATACATATTACGTCAAGTTAGCAAAAAGCACATTATCATCCAGTTTGTGCCTGCAGCAGGGCTTCTGCTGCCAAGTGAGGTCCAAGGGTTAGGCTAAAGATTAAACGTCCCCTATCTCCTGTAATCTAACAAGGTAAAACAAACAGAGAGAAAGATAGCACAGACAGAGATGTACACTTTAAAAAGGTCTTTATATATATTCATATGAAGTAAATTTACATCCACCTCCTCTCCTGGATCGTACAGTCCTGCTCGGTAATGAAGTGGTCCAAACCAGCTGAGGCTCTGCCAGAGTTAAGGGACTCCATATTTTCATTGTCAGTAAGAGCACTGTGACGGAAGGCCATTAAAAAAATCTCCACAAAAACATCCTACTTACAGGATTCATGCTCCTCTCTCTGAACAAGTCAGCTCGGAGAACGGGTTTAAAAGGGGTTTCAAACGTGTTAAAAAGTCGTAATCTATGCTCTGCTCGCCTACCCAAAAGTCATGGCCAAGTGGGCAAAAAAAATTCATCACAAGTACACCCAGGACATGAAAATATATATATTCTCATAATATATATAAAATGTCTTTATTTTAATCCGATATGTACACTTTTCACGAGACATCTGTGGAACAAAGGTCTCCGAACTGAAGCGCTGCTTCATTTGGTTAAACCAAAAAAAATCTGAAGGAAAAACAGCAAAAAATCCTGAAGTCACAAAAAACGTTACCCAAAAATAAACCCTCCGAAAATCAAAAAAGAACAAAAAGACATCTCTCCAGCACAGTTATCCGAATGCCAACAGCTCCAGCGATCCCTGCCAGGTGACTCTGCCAGATCTGTGGTTTATCTTAGCGAGTTGTAGTCCACAGACGGTTGGTCATTGGTAGCAGAAAATAAAGTTATCTCAGTAGAAGTGCTGAAGTAGAGCAGGAGCCTCGTCTGTTTAGTAGATGACCTCGTAGACAGTCGCCTTCTTGTCCCCAGATCCCGTCACGATGTATTTGTCATCTGCTGAGATGTCACAGCTCAAGACGGAGGATGACTCCTTTGACTGTGGGAGCAAAAAAAAAAAAAAAAGACCATCAAATCCTCCTCTTTAAGACGTTCATCTCACTAAGTTATCTGTTTTTGTGGTTATCACGCTGCAGTTTCATCCACCAAGGAAATAGACATTTGTATACTTACACAGCCTGCTCAGTCTAAGAACAGTGAGATTTGCTCTTCTGATCAATGTGTTTCAAAAATGTCATATCTTAAATTTCCCCTTTCCTCCCCCTTACATCGAGCTCACTCCTAAAACTGTCAAAAAGCTGAAACGTAGATAAAAGCTCTGCAAAAGCTGCTGACTGCACCTAAAGAGCAGATCATCCAGGGAACCACTGCGCTCCCGTTTTGAACGACTCTACAGAAAATTCTGCATAACAGGACAGAAGCTTTTTCCTGCATGTCCTCAATCAAACCTGTGATTTTCTCTCCTTCTTTACGTCCTGCTGTCAGTTAATGTTTCCTGTAGTTACCTGGAATATGCTGGCGCCATAAGGAGTCCTCCATGCATTCAGCAGGTTGTCCTTCCCTGTGCTCACAAACCATTTACCTGCAAACACAGAACAGACTCAGAAAAAAAACAGCCAAAGGAGAGTGTGTGTGTGTGCTTATGCAAACACACGGTTGTTTGTCTTGACGCCTTATCAGTGACCATAAAACCTTAGTGAGAGGAAAACTATGACACTGTCATAAAATACACATCATGAAAGAGCCTCACACCATGTCCACCCTGATAATTGTTTTAATCAGCCTCTGATTAATTACCCCACTGACTAGTTGGCTAATGATTTAATTAGTGACAGCAAGAGCTCTGAAGCAGTGAGAATCATTTGAATGAACCCATTCTGTGGAGCAGCGATATGAGGTTGTGCTCAGAGGGGGTCTTGTGAGTGGAAATGAATATCGACTGTTCTGGTTTAAAAAAAAAGAGGGGATAGTAAAACCTAATTTGTCAGAGCCTTAAACTTGAAACCATCTGGTCTGCCCGACAGGCACAATGATTTAAACTGAAAAAGCAATTACTGGAGTCTGTAACGAGCAAATAACGGCTTCATTGTTAATACAGTTACACACTTTTACCATGCGCTGTTTCAAGAGTGTCGGGAGCAAGCCGTGCCGTGACATTTCGATGTGATTAAGAAGTCAAAATAATGTCGCTCAGATTTACAGCGATGAGACCGTCATCACACACCCGATTGCTTAAAACTGTTTCAAGGGGTCACGGCCAGAGCGCTAGTCCAGAACAACACAGATATTACAGCCTGCACTCATGTGGAGAGAGTTAGAGGATGTGGTTAACGCCAGAAAGCTTGTCAAAATCTCTGAGGCTTCATTTAGTAAGGCAGGAATCATCAAATAACCGAGCTAGACAATCATATGACTCTCCAAGAAGATCTCAGGCGATAATGAGTTTCAGGCCATGAGTGAAAAGTGATGGATGAAAACAGATTCTGCCTTTGTTTGGCTTCAACCTCAATTTCCCAGAAAACAATCCCCGCATTACGATGTTCATTTACCCAGAAATCAGAGCTGGTTTTCACACGATTAAGAAGATGCTTTCAGCCTGTTACTCACCACAGTAGGCGAACTTTAGTGAGAGTACGCAGCTCTCGTGCAGATGCAGCTGGTACTTGTCAGGCTTGGTGTGGTGCAGCACCTCCACGTTGCTGCTCTCCATGCCCACGGCCAGCCATTCTCCGGTGGGACAGTAGCCCAGTGAGAAGATCTGCGACAAGGGTGAGGTTTTTTACATTTGAAACAAATGGCAGTAAAAAAGAACGTAATGTGTGTGTTTGCGCGAGCTTCTTTCTACCTGTGAGGTAAAGTCGTGTTGCTGGAGCTGCCGTCCCTCTCTCAGATCCCAGGAGCGGACCGTGTTGTCCAGCCCTCCAGTCCACAGTTTGGTCCCGTCGTGAGAGATGTCGATGCAGCTGGCGCCGTCTGTGTGTCCCTGGAACTGCCTGCAACACCACAAAAAAACAAACAAACAAAGACATGAATTCAGAAGATTTACAACATCAAATCCTAAGGGTGTCCAAAACCAAAAGAAGGAGATTGTCTTTAAATGTGAACAGTACGTTCGGAAAAAAAAAACAGACCCTCTGGGCCACAGCACTGACCTGACAAGGGTTTGGTTATGGAGGTCCCACACAGCTATGTTTCCGTCTGAGCAGCAGGAGAAGCAGACCTTGGCATCTGGACTGATGGCCAGCGCGTAGCAGGCCGGAGCAGAAGAAGTGAGCTCAGCCTTAATGCGAGGCGTCTGTGAGGCGAGGTCCCAGATGGTCAGTGTGCTGGCTTCACCACCCACGATGAGGGTGCGGCCGTCAGGCAACAGTTTGCACGAGCGGATGTAATTGTCTCTGTTCTGTAACAGAAGCAAGCGATGTCGAGGTCTTGATTATTGGCATCGTTTATCTGCGATCCTTACAAACACCTGAGTAAAGGACAGTCAAGGCCAAGAACTAACGCAATTATAATTCTGTAGAGAACATCAAAACTGTCTCTGCTGAACTCAAGCTGAGTTTTCCTCCGTGTTTCAGTGAAGATGTGGGTGTCAGCTATAACAAGAGAAGCGGGGAGTGTGAGGAGATGCAGCTGTTGGCCGAGCTCCAGGAGAGCAGAAAGAAAGAGATCAATAGGACTGCTCAAGCTCTCGGTCAAATTAAAACAGCACCCTGATGGCTTTATAAGACCCAACTGCACTCAGGACGCACCTTAAGGGTGCTGGAGGCTTTATGAGTTGAACGGCATGAAGCTGCAGTATCAAAATGAGAAATGGGAGGCAGTTGGGAGGAAGTAATGAGCTGGGTAATGGCAGACAGGGTCGGCCAATCAGAACATCATTACTCAGCAGGCTTTTTTTTCTCACCAAGGATTATTTCAGCACAGCAGAGACACTTTGCTGAATTATTCACATCCCTGTCAGATGGGATCTGGGGAAAAGCCACGATGGGATGTGGAGTCAGGCTACATTTGATGCTCAAGATACTCTTAATGAAGGAGGAAGTTTGCAGAGACCTTATGAAACAAGAACATTATGCTTCCGCTCTGGTTTGACACTTTGTTCTCACTTTCAAGCATCCACTTTAACAACACAAAAACACTCGTGCACAAACGTTTCACAATATTCCAAAGCCATAACTTTAAGGACCTTAATAAGAGATTAGTTACCAAGCAGTCCAGTTGGGACACGGGGCTCTTGCTGCCTGGCTGGCTGATGTCCCAAATCTTGACACAGCCCTTACCGCCGGTGTAGACATGGCGTGTGGGGTTGCTGATAGTGACAGCGCACACTACTTCCCCGTGGCTCAGTGTGTTGATCTGGCGAGCGTGGCGCGGGATGCCTGGACCAATCAGCGCATCCGGAGGGAAGGGCACCGGCTGCATCTGACCGTCCGCGCTCACGTGAAAAGAATATGCTCTACAGGGGGATGAAGAGTCGGTCAGTCTGAGTGACTAAGTAAAAACTAAATGTTCACAAGAAGAAAAGTAGCTGAAGTCAAACTCCAGACACTCACGGCTTTCCTCCAGAAATGGACGTGAGGCTGGCTGGCAGGCCCGGAGCTCTCATGTGAGGATGAGGATCAAATCCCGCCTGCAGGAGCGAGAGCGGCAGAGTTAAAAACAACTAATCATCTTCAAAGATACATTAGAATAAGCTAATATTCAAACTGAAAACTATGCTTTGCTTTATCTGCTAATGCCCCGAGGAGCCAAAATCATTTGCAGGCAAATCCTTTGAAAGACGTAGACTCAGCTTCACTGCGTACAGAGAAGTTTTACACAAGGCTACAACATCCTGCCTGCTAATGCTAATGAAAGCCTGGGAGACTTTCAAACACGGAGCTGCGTTTTGGGGGGGAGCCTTTTTTAAAGCCTCTAGAATGCTAACTAACGAACATCAAAGTTGAGGAGCGCTGCTGTCTTTGTACTCCCTCATTATGTACACACAACAAGCAGCAGCAGCCAGCTGAGCAGAAACATTCGCAATGAGGTATGGAAATACAGGAGGATCACTCAAGTTTTCAAAGTCGTTTTGCAGACAAGACCCCAACAACCTAATGCAGGGAAATATTCACCCTGCCGGTGGAGGAGGAACATCTGAGTGTGTGTAGTGGAGCAGCTTTATTTGTTCAGTTGTGAGCGTTGAGAGCATATCTGATGAACAACTGCATCGAGAGAATGGAAGGCTTACAATAGGGGAGCGTCCGTAGGCGGCAGCAGCTGCGGCGCTCATCTGTGGTGAAATGAGACCCGGATAGACGCCCGGGCTGGTCAGGGAACCGTTCATCTCGTGATGACCCATCATAGCAAACGGGGTGGCGTAGGAACCTGCGATGGACAGAGGTGTACGCAAGGCAGGAGCGGCTGGAGAAGAGAAGGAGCGTTTGATTAGATTTACAGAAAACAGACGAACATTTGGAAACACTAAACTATGATTCGCTCACAATTATTCACATTTTACTTAATTTCCTGAGTGTGACGTGGTGAAAAACTCCAGGCTACTAACTTCTGGGAGGTTTTTGAATTTTCATCTGAATACTTATCTAACTCCGATAAATCTCCAGTTAACTTTTAACAGTGTTGTAACCGTTTAACAAAATGGGTTTTTCTACCAGCACTCCATAACCTGTTTGAAGAAGGCTCATCAGATTCTTGGTACCTTCGTCATAAAACCTCCCCCTGTGTGCGCAGACATTTCTCAGAATCCTTATTTCAGCTAAATTAAGATTCAGCAGAATTCACTTTCACCTCATCAGACAGTTACTTGTATAACAGAAGAGGTTTAAATGTACCTAATGCCTCCATGCCTGGTGGTTTGCCCATGGTGAGAGGCCTCAGACCTGGCGTGGTGCTGGTCCCCGGTGTCGGGGCCTCATTTCTTGGTGTCGGCGTGTTGGACTTCAGGCTCGGTGTGGATGACTTGTCGTTCTAAAAATGAAATACTCTTTAACCTCAGAGCGTAATCTTGTTTCGTATCCTCTTACACAAAGTTCACTCACTGAGCCACACACACACACTCTCAAATCAAACAGCGCCCATGCCACAGTCAAGAAAAAATCCCACAGTGAGTCAAAAATACCCCCACTGCCAGGGAAATCCAGAGTGACAATCTGAGTGGACGGCTCAAGGTAATCCAATCTAACACTGACACTTCATTACAGCCCTGGTGTGTGTGTGTGTGTGTGTGTGTGTGTCTGTGTGTGTGTGTCTGTGTGTGTGTGTGTGTGTGTGTGTGTGTGTGTGTGTGTGTTGGGGGTAGGGGCATAAACCTTAGCTTAGAAGTCAAGCTTGTTAAGAGTAGCTAGACAAGCAAGATGGCGGTCCGAACACTTCTCTCATAATTAATCCATCTTTCTTCCTCTGCAGCGGGAGGTGGGGGGTTTGGGGGTTTATCTTGGTGACACGCACTAATGAGGGCAGAGAGGAGCTGGGTATCGAGGGAGGCGGAGGGGAGTGATGTGGACTATAAATCTATCCTTATCCTCATTGAAGTGGTTGTTGTAAAACTGATGCATGAGGATTGTTTTAGCCTGCTTCCTGTGAGCTCCAGTGCAGGAGGGAAAAAAAAAGTGGGGGGATGATAGTGAGGGAGAAGATGAGTAAAGAAAAGATTGAGACAGCAGTTCCCTTGCTGTGGTGTCTCTGGGTTATTTACAGCCTTGGGTGGAGGGAGAAATGACCATTTATTGGGTAAGCCATAAAGGAGATTGAGAGGAGTGAGCCACAGGGTTTGATTTCCTGAGAGTGCATCCGCCCTCTGCCCCCTTCAAGCCCTTTATAGCAGCTGCCTGCTAAGTCTCCTGCGTATAAGTCCTTCACACAGACACCCACTTCAGTTGACAAATGCCCTTTAGTCTGTCAGCTCACCCTTCACCCCCTCTACTGTAACCTCCTTATTTCATCCCCTCTACAGCCCCCTCACTGTGTCGCTCGCACTCACATGGGCGTGGTCCTTGGCTTTGGAGGACGGCGTGCTGCCTGACGAGGCGACAGACGCCGGGCTGTTGGGGGCAGCATCCTTCTTCAGGACTCGGGATTTATCCAGGCCGTTCTCTGGAGGAGAGTGAGCGGGGCTGACTCGAGGGGTGGCCGGATCCTGCCGAGTTTAACGAGACAGAAAGAGAGGGAGGCTGAGCAAACAGAGCGGAGGAAAGCCACTGGCATGTACATGTAGGTCAAACAAACCTGGGCCTCATGTGCAAACACAGATAAATATACTCATGCGTGCTCGTACTCTCTCCCCTCACACACACACACACTTTTCATTCACCTGTCACTCCCTTTTCTCTTTGTGTTTTTTGTCTTACGTTCTGCATGAATGGCTAAAGAAATACAGCAAGTGAGCACACACTCATGGCACACACACACACACACACACAACCAATATTATGACAGACTTTTTGGCAGCGCTGTGAAAGGTGTCGAGGCTCCAACAGACAAACAACAAAAGAGCGCTGTGTTTAGTTTCTGTGTGGTGTTCGCACTGTGGAATGTGGCGGAGCAGCTTCGTTCAAACACAGTCTTACCTCATTGGAAACGTCCACCACCAAGTCGTCACTTTTGTCTCCGTCACTGTCCTGTGAAGAAGGAGTGACAGACTCAGCTATCAGCGGTCAAATATTATCAACATGACTGGTCCAAGTTTTTTGAACCACACCAGGTTCACATGTATGAAGCTGGCTGGAGCATCTTGCACTAATGACATCTTCTCCGCTGGAACTATAATTAGAGCCGGTTTGCTCGCTCCTCGCCATGACATTTAGAGGAAAAACTATTACAAAAATCACCGACCTATTAAATGAATCATCTATGAGCCATGTTAGTGTTTATACAGTGAAAATTACAGATAATTAACAGCTTGTTCGGGAGTTAATATTATGGTTGCTCATTAAAGTTCTTCTGATGGGCAGAAGTCTTTGAAAAGCAGCCAAGTGAGAACGAGAAACCAGTCTAGGGTGCGCAGCAGCCAAAACAGGTGAGCTGTTAATCACTGTCAACCAAAGAAAGGAATAAAACCATCCACTCACATATCTGCTCATGCTATCCTTGTCATCCACTTTGCGTTTCTTGGAGTCCAGACCGTAATCTGAAGAGCCGCGGTGCTTCTCACTTGCCGCCCGCAGGCTGTCTGACGGCGACACAGAGTTATTCTGCCAACAACAACAACAGCATGTAGTCAGACCACCTCAGTCTCTGCTGCCTTCTGGGTGCTTCATCTTGTACAGGGTGTCTTTTATAGATGCTGACAGTTTGTTCAGGATGTAAAAGGACAGGTTTCAGCTCTTTGGGTCATTCATATAGGTACGCATTGCGATTGAAAAACATACTGTGACTCTCACTGATTTGGATTAAGTTCACACTTTGCTCAGGATGGGAAGATTGTAGGTGTTAGTGACTGTTAAGTTAAAGTCCACACTGCCCTGCCTCATTTTTACCAGGTCAAATAAATGTATCAGGGCTAAGATGCAGCATGTGACACTCTGACAGTCAGCAACTTAAAACGACCAAAACAGTGTGTCCATGTCAGCTTTTTTTGCCTTTTCCTTTTAGTGGCGACAGTATTGTCTGAAAAGCAAAAAAAAACGCACAATGCTCCTGGACTGATTTGTGATAGATGAAGCGGAAGAGGATTCTGGGATAGCTTAGCCGCTCGGCTTCTATTGCTGCGGCTGCCAGAGCAATAGAGCAAGGAGGAAACAGATGAGGCAGCTGAGAAAACCCACAAACACACAAAACACAGCTGGAAGACAAAAGCATTAACTCCTGAGCGAGGTGAGGCTTAAGACAGGTTGAGAGGAGGTGAAGAGAGAGAGTGTGAGGAGGACGAGGAGTGCTGTATGGGATATTTGGTACGTGTACGCACACATGCACACCACCTGACATTGAATCCTCTTGAAGCACAGTCAGAGACATGCTTGGTGCACTTTTATCGAAAAGAAACTGCTCATAGTTTTGCATGCACATTTTTTTTTTGACATTGGAATTCATGTAAATAAAAACAAGTGACCAGAATCTCCCACTGTCAAGCTGGAAAGAATGCATTATACAGCTGCTGTGAAGCCCCTATGTGAGTGTGTGAGTGTGTGTGTGTGTGTGTGCCTGTGTGGCCTGAAGCAGTGACAAAACACCTAAGAATGACAGCAGAGTTCATGAAATTCAACCAGAATAGAAAAAAAAAGAGGAAGGAAAGAAAGAGAGCATTGAGGAAACCTGGACAAGAGTGCAATGTGAAGACACAAAGAGGGTGTTGCCAGCAGAGAAAAGAGCCATGAAAGAGGCAGAGTGAGAAAATGAGAAAAAAAAAAAAAAAAGAGGAAGAAAGACAAGAGAGCAAAACAGGAAAGGAACTTGGCAAGCCATGAGAGCGTAGCAGTGTGGCAACGAGTTCTCCCCACTAGTGGGAATGCCCGGACAGGCTGGCACTCTCTCAGAAGCTGCAAACGGGGGTTTTGTAGTCTGGGCACTGGTGTGGAGGGGTAGCACTGCCAAACAGGCCGACAGGCAGAGAAGGGGAGAGGAAGAGGGGGGTGGGGGGAGCAGGGGAGGGGGAAGCAAGCAAAACCCTGAGGCCAGGCCACACTGTCAGGCAGCTCAACAAATCCCTGCCTTCAGAAAGAGGTAGATCTGGGGAGCAGGGAAGATGATGTCTGACTTCTTGGCTGCAAATAAAGGGGAGAGAAAGAGGAGCGGCAAAGAAAACTGGCAACCTAAAAACTAAGTTAAAGAAGATGATAAAAAGACGGAGCGGAAACGGCTGATAAAAACAACAACACTGTGGTTAGGAAACTGCTCCTGACATTTCCACGACCCTCCTTCTCAGGTCAAAATATGGAAATCTGTTCAGCTACTGCTGAGGAAGAGTCAGTCTGGTTTGGTGCTGAGATGCCGCCTGGCAGACAGAGATCTCTTGTAGCCTGTTTGTGTGTCTGAGCCGGTGACCTTTAATGGATTGCGTAGACTCAATAACCCTGCGCTTGCCTCCAACTCTGGTATCAGATGCAACGAGACAACAGGGCAGAACGTGTGTGCGCGCATTGGAAAAGAGATCAGGTAAGGTTGCACTGGCAGCCGCTTGTCACCATATGAGACAGAGGGGGAAGAGTTTGGGTTCCCTTCAGACATGAGTGGGCCCATTCAGGATGGTCAGTCAATGGGAACTCAATCTGGCCGAGCAGATCCAGCAGGTTGTCACGCTCCAGCTCACTGAGAGCTTTAAGCCAGTCCAATAAACAAGGACTTTAACATGAGAAGGAGGAGGCGAGAGATAGAGACAGAGGGAGATGTTGGAAACGAGCAAATGAGAGAGAGATAAGAAGAGGAGGAGAGGGCAGAAAATAGAGGCGTATGCAAAGAAAAAGCTAACCTTACATAAATGGAGATGAAAGCAGTCAGGTATTGGACACATGCAACAGTGACTCCTCCAAAGTAAGGAGGGGAAGAAGAGAAGGAGAGTCAAAGTCGCTTTTAATTGTGCTGAAATTAAAGGAGCTGGCTGACTACTAATCCTCGCCCAGTGATTGGAGTCATTTTCCACCTGGATTAGATGGCACCGGCTTATTTGGCCAGACTTCATTATTTGATTCCAGTCAACCTCCAGAGTACAAAAAAGTGTGTGTTCTTACAGAGAGAGCATGAATTTCTATTGAACGGGGAGCTTAAGTCTATGTAAAGTACACCTAATCACCAAACACAGTGAGCCAGAGACCGGCAAAGTCAAGACACACACAGGAGACAGAGGAGACCAAAGTCAACGTACCGTGCTCGACTCGCGTTCTTTCAGAGGAAGGGCCAGAGGCGAGTGAAAAGATGAGGGGCCAGGAGAGAAGAAAGCAAAACACAAATTAGTATGGGTGTCACCGAGAGTCTGTATTAAGATCAGACAAGTCCAGAGCCAAAACAAGTCAGTCAAAACTCTGTTGTTTAGTTCATAGACACACTGACTGAAAAAGATATTTACAAGATTGGTAACTGTTTATTATTAGACATTATGTAGTTTTTAGCAGCTGTGACTTTATGAAAGCTGAGTCGACCATAAATTGATGCTTTTTTAATGAGAAATAAACAGTGACTTAAGAAAAAGCAAGTTTGAGATTTCCAGACGGTGAAAACTGAGGCCTATACTTCCCCTTTACCTTGTTATTGTTTAGTTTATCAAGAGGACTCCCCACTATTTGACCTCTGACCTTTGAGGGAGACGTCAGGAGCTCTCTGATAGAAAGTACCGACTGATTATTTAAGTACTATTTAAAAAACAAAAAACATCTATTAGTTACCCAGCAGTTTCATGTCCAAATAAGTCAAGGCTATTGTACTATTGTGGGTTTATTACCCACAATACCTCACTGAATTACTGACATTTATGACAGCAGACTTTAAGTCTAAGTAGAAAGTGAGAACATCACATTTTATTGTTAACTTGACTAATTCATTTAAATGCCTGGAAACCTAAAGGTCGATAAAACAGCTATTTTAATGGTTTATAACTGATCAATACAACATGAGTAAAGACACAAATAAGACCATCAGTTACAAATTTTATCCTGTATTTAATGAAAAATGTTTGAAGTTCTGAAGAAAGCTGTATAATTGTTTTTTTTCATCACCCTCTGTGATTTCGTCCGTAAACACCTACATGCAGAAATACACAGCAGCTTGTTTCTATGATAAATGCATCTGGCTGGTAGAACAAGTTCTAGTGAAAACAATCCCCCATCAGCAGTGGAACACTGCAGGCAGTGTGTGTGTTTGTTTGTGTGTGCACGTGCTCATGTGGCAGGCTGTGCTCCTCACCTCTGTGCTCCAGGTCGTGGTGGTTCTTCTCGCCCTTTACAGGCAGGTGGGCCTGGCTGCCAAGAGCACCCAGAGCCAAAAGGCCAGAGCCGGCACCCGTCACAGGGGGGATGCCGGGCGGCTGCAGGCCCGATGGGTGAGGGGGGAGCTGGACTGGGGGGCCGTGGGCCGCGTGAGAGAGGTGCTGAGCCTGGAGCTGCTGCTGCTGTAAACAAACGCACAGAGACAAGACAGAGGACAAGTGGGTCGGCTGGGAAGTGAATCCATGGATGACCACACTCCACTCATGCATTAGAGCTGGCTTTGAGCGCATTTAGTTCAAGGCCAAACCGTTTATGCAGAATAGACTGACAGAGAGTGCCAACATGCTGATCCAGCTCATTCACCGGCTGAAGGGAAAACCAGATTCTGTACATAACTCTGGTTGTATGGTATGAGAATCATCTGGAGAAGGTGCTGGAGAAGAGAAGGCTGATTAAAAACCTTCCCGTCTTATTATGACTCAATCCAACACTCTGACTGTCTCAAGCATCTGGACTGGACTGATCACGAGGCAACAATTAATATCAATGATGAAATGTTTGTGACTTACAACATTATGGCTGGTACTTAATATTAACTGGCACTTATAAACTCATAATTTACTTAAGAGAAAAAAAACAGCACTTCAAAGTAGGGCTGCAGCTGTTACTTCATTTATTAAGCATTAGTGTTGATTCATCGCTGAATAATTTAGGCTGAAAATAGAGAAAGTTGCCCGTCTGCAACATGAAAAACCCAAACTATAGTCGCCCAAGTTCTAGCCGACTAATCTGAACTGAAATATTTTAATTTTTAGTTATTAGGGGGGAAAGAAAAACAGGAAATGATGTCGTTTAAGAAGCTGGAGGTACATCATTTATCATGTTTATGCCTTGTAATTGATATTAATGATGGTCTAAATAGCTGTGTGGATGACTAAAGCGGTTGCACCAGGTTAGTAGGGGTGGGAATCATCACGATACGATATTATCACAATACAATATTGCGATTTTTTAAATTTTGCAATACAGTGAGTATTGCAATATTATATACTGTGATTTATACAATTTTTTCAACTGTTTGGCTAATTTAGCATTTGTCTTTCCTTTACGTTTGTCTTATTTACACAGTATTTTATTTTCATGTTGCTTATCTTGCAAACCTTATATAGATTTGTTGCACTAACTTTCTCCTGCTCTACGATGTCACCTCTGCCAACCTCACTGGACAAACAGTTGATTTTATTTTCCCATTATCATAGATTTGACTTCACATAAGCAGTTTATTTGAAAAAATCGATTCTTGGTAAATAAGATGATGTATCACCAGACAAAATATTGCGATACTATACCGTATTGATTTTTTTTCTCCCACCCCTACAGGTTAGTGTCAGGTTCTTCCATGGATGAGCAATAGTGTTACACTCTCGGTTTGTATACTACAGACATGACACTCTTTTGTGCCCTTGACTTATTAAACCCCTTTTTTTTAAACTGCTTATCTTTTCCCCCTAAGGTTACAAGATTATATGACACAACTATATTCAACTCAACACCATGTCTCCTCTGATTCTCAGAAATCCTCCTGTTTTTTTTTCGCTCCCTCCAAACTGCTGTGCTTCAATCATAGCTGGGACAGTCAAAAATCAATAGGTCTACACTCAAAAACCTCGAAACCTTTCAACACTGGAAAACCAAGCAAGCACGCCCACACCTCGAGCAAAATGCAGCTAAGCACAGACACAATGGAGAACACACACACGCATCCCAAGAGGCCGTGGATGTGTGTGTCTGCGTGTTTGTGTGTGTGTGTGTGAGCCAGTCAGAGGAGTGAGTAGATAGACAGGAGTTAAATAGCCACTCAGGCAAGAGGGAAGCAAGTGCTTTAAAACAAGGTTAAATAACACTTAGCACATCCATCAACCGCCTCTCTTAAACAGAAAAAAAAACATGATTGCTATTCTGCTGGCTGGATAGAACTTCAATACGCTCATCCATACATTCATTACATGAGCTAGGCCGAGGTACATGTGGCGGCTCACCACATTTAAAGGTTTATTTAGCAGCTGGCCATTATTCAGTCAGCTCATTATGAGGAGCTGGACCCGAAATCGCACAATGGATATAAGCGACCGAGGAGCAGCATTGTTAATCGATATTGTACTGGTGTGCTGAGCAGCCTATTTGTTGTGAAAAAGGAAAAGAGAGGAAGGGGCAGCCAGAGGAAGAAAAGGGAGGGAGAGGCAGAATCAGAAAATAACAAGAGAACGACAGAGAGAGGGACCGAGGCAGGGACGTCCCTATTGAGTGTGCCTAATGAGGAAAAGCGTGCAGGGATCATTATCAAGAAGCCTCATTAACGAGCTATGGCTGAGAAGAGGAGCGAGGAGAGACGAGGGGAGGGAAGGGAACGAGAGAGAGAGAGAGGGAGAGGGAGAAAAATCTGAAAATAAATTGCTTCCAATTCAATATTCATGGATAAAGAGCTGGCTTCCTTTCACACTTATCTTTTTTCATTATGTGTAAATGCCGCCGCAGCTCAGGCAACTTCCACAGGAAACAGGCAATTAAAGTTAACTAGGCGAAGCTGGCTCCCTGCAGAACAGTACTGTCAGGTGGAACACGCATCAACAGCACCGGCACAAACCAGCTGGCAGACTGGCTTAATAAGTCTGGCAGTCATCGCCACATTACCTACTTATTCTGTGCTTTACAACGGCTTCAGTGGCTCATCATAGCTCCTTCCGTCGTCGTGACAAAGATTACACTACATCTGACGCTAAAGGCAGATCTGATTGACTATACTAGTGGAATGAAACTCAGACCGTGGGACTGTATCTAAGGTTAACAAAAAACACGCCTTGAAATCTCTGTCACCTGATTAACGCAGACAAACGACACAATACAAACAAGATAAACAAACACACCCAAGACATGCCTAGTGTGTAAAAAGCATCACATCTGTTAACAAAGACACACATTAGACTGCCAGCAAACACTCAGGGAAAAACAGTTTGTGTAACTCCCTGGACACTGACCATGAAGGCTGGGTAAACACTATGAGGCGGCTGCTGCTGCTGGGTCAAAGGAGAGAGGAAGAGGTGGGATTCAGCCAGGAATAACACAAGCATGGACAGGATAATGAAAACTGAAGTAGCAACCTATGATTCATTATCGGCTAGCTCTTGTTTTGCATGTGTTCAGGAGGTTGTTTTTGTTGTATGAATGACTGGTATTGTTTTATTGACGATCCAGATCCACAAATGATTCAGTTGATTGTCAAAGAAAGCAAATAGATTTTATTACAGTCCAGCAGCAGATGGGAAGAAGAGGAGTTTTGTTGCACCTTTCTTTGGTTACAAAGAGTAAATCAAGTACAAGTAAGAGACATCCAAAACAAAAGCAGGCAGTATTAAAGTTGTGTGCTCGACATATTAACAAAAGGGTTGGTGATAAGAAGCGCAGCACCTGTAACCTACTGGTTAAACATTATCTCGGTACAATCTTGGCTCGTGTTGAATCATGGAAATGAGAGCAGGAGAATGGAAATGAGACGGCACCTCTGACTCTCAATCAAACTCAATCATAAGACGCCTCGGGCTATAACTTATGCAAAACAGCGAGCAGGACAGGGGAGGCTTATTTGCATTTTTATGTTGGCTTTTCAGTCACCTATTCAGCTTGTCACCGCACCAAGGCTACAGGTCTGTACTGTCCTTTTACGTTTGATATGTAAACCATATGTTAGTATTTAGAGGGTCTGCCTTTGACCCTCTTCACTGCATTGTTGATTTAATGGAAACTAAAAGAACTTGGTTGCCTTAGACCTCGTAACACAAATGTGAATAAAAATGACATTGGAACATTTTCTTATTCATTTCTTTGACTTGATCAGTTCAATGTCAAATATCATATATTAACTGCAGAGTTCAACACTTCTCTAACACACATGCTGAAGCCTCTAAAGGCCATTTCGTATTTAGACTCCCAGCATAGACGGCAGATATTAAAATCTCTCATACAGACAGACTTCCTCTTTAAGAGAATAAAAGAGGAGTTATGATCAACATCTACTGGACTGAAATCTGCAGTCACTCTTTTCTCTACAGACTTCCATATTCAGAAGTCTTTTTTCTTTAATGGTGATTATTAGGTCAGCTTATTTTGAAATTCAATTTTTGATTTGAGAAAACTTCTAGGTGGTCATAAAGCGGGTCCCCCTGAACCTAAAGCTGAAACTCATCTTTTGTATTGGCTCTCAGTCAGCACACCCTGACAGGCGACAGTGAGGCAGTCAGGGACTTTCATATACTGAGTAAACTTTATCACATATCAAAACCCAGTCTGTTGTGCGAGTGTGTGTGTGGTTGTCTAGACTCAAATCTGTCTTCTGATCTATCTGCTGTATGGAGCTGCCAGAGTCTGATGCTCTCTGAATCTCTGTGAGACTTTAATGACATCACAGCCGCACACTGCCTCGCTCGCACTGAGGGGACATGAAGATTGATCACCTGCCACGTCTTTGCCACCATGATTAAAGTCTGTTTTCCTGTGTGTGCGTTAATGTGTGTGTCACTGTGCATTGTTGTGTGTTCTGTTTGGCCCTGCCCACCCTTAATGACGGTAGGGTCACTGTAGACAGCCTCACAGAGTTGGCTGGGGGACTAAAAAGAAAAAGGAAATAGGAAGTAATTACCTTGAAAACTGCGGGTTGTGCTCCTGGCTCATTTACTCTAATCGAATTTCGATAGCTGCCTTTCATTAGACCTGACCCCGAACCACTGAGACCAACTAACCAATGACAAACCTCTGTTACAGAGGGCTAATCAAAAGGGTCAGTTATCCATCTGGGTCCAAGCTGGCTATTGAGAAGTGGCCCGGCTCATAGGAGTTAAATTAAACCAGATGAAAGGGAAAAACACTAAAAGCACATTAGGCTAGAGTGGGTTTAGTGTGTTTGGGGATGGGGCTCCATTAAAAGGCCTTTTACTGATTTTAACATGCGCTCTGTCACAAAACTAAAAAGAACTTTTGAGAGAAGTGTTGAAAAAGAAAAGCAAGTAGGAAGTCCATGACCCTAAAAACCTACTATGAAAAACATGACCTGCTTTAGCAAACAGTATGCATCCTGTACTCCTATGATACACAGTTTAAGTGGTTATAGGCGACTGGATAGGGGGATTAAATTTACATCTACTGCATATTAGTTAGTTTTTCAATTTGGAAATTCTATTTATTAAATCTTAAAGCTCCTGTGAGAATATTTTTTGCTGATTTTGAAAAACTGTGAAAGTAACACTCATGTCTTTTTAATGACCTACAAAAGAAACAGAAACCATAAGCCCTGATATTGAATATTGACAATGTTGACATTTCTTTGCAGTGATTTAAACACCTTAAAATAGCTGCTGCTGGGGAGGTTTTAGATGAGAGTATTTATGGCGCGCTGACGAAATGGTCTTAATGTTTTACATTTTCAACAGCAAATAAAAGAAAACAGAATGAGATTCTGTGTCAGCAAACTGGTGACTAAATAAAGGGAAATCAATTGGGTGTTTACAGCCAATCAAATCCATTTTCAACAGCAAGGATCAAAAAGAAATTGTTCAATATCCATGAATAATCAAACATCACAAGCCCACAGTTTTAGATTAACCACAAATGTCAATTTTCAGGCAATAACTGATTATGTTTGACCGTAACTACATCAATGTGTTTGCATAAACGTGTCTGATGTGGCAGAAAACTGAACTGTTGGACTATTGGCCAGACAAAACAGGGACGTTGCCCCTGGCTTTGGAAAGTTTGGTTATTTTGAGACACGTTATCAAATGAGTACTGAGAAAACAAGCGATAAAATAATCACTTGAAAAAGAACAGAAGCCAGTTGTGGTTGTTTATATAGTAAAAGTTCCCTCAAGTCAGATTATTTAGACTTTTCCTGCTCCCTCTATTCTGACAAGTGTTTGAATGAAGCTGAAATCCTTTCTCCTTGACTGCTCACAAATGTTCAGGACCTGCTCCATCTTTACTGCTGTAATCTCTGCTGCAGTCACAGTGCTTGTCCAAACTTTACTGCTCTTAAATCCTCCTGTTACTGGGTCAGAGGTAGGGCTAAGTCTGTTGGCTGGAACCTTTTATCTAATTAAAGTGCAGCCAAAGTGAAATCTGAGAAACGCCACAATCTGATCTTAGTCTGGACTGTGTTACTTCATATCAGATGTTCCTTAACTCTGTCTGAGACGAGAAAATCAGAGCAGAGCTGCTGCTGCTAAGACTTACACGCTGAGTGCTGACAGGTCACAGTTAACCAACAATCAGTGAAATTATATCGGTGAACACCATATTGACGGCACATTAAAAACATCATGAACTCAAATAAAAACATAATAAACCACTGGAGACAGGGGCAAGACGGCACAAGAGAGGAGGACACAGAGTTTCATTCTGAATATCTGAATGCAAAAGAGAAAAAAAAAGTGGCAGATTCATACAGAGAGCCAATCTCACTCTCTTTTCATCCCATTTTACTCCTAAATTTAAAGCCCAAGTGATCATGTTTAGATAGCCTGAATAATGTTTATGTAAAAGTTTGCTGGTCCTCTTCTATTTGTGCAGTCTTGCCCCTGACTCGAGGTCAAAAAATGGAAGAAAAGGGGGTATACACACAGTGAGAGGCAGATTGGGAAGTCCACGTACCCCGATGATAGCATTAAGCTCGGTCATTGTCACCTGCTTGGCCCGTTCAACAGCCTGAGCCACCTGCTGTTGATGCTGCAGGATACAGAAACACAAAGATTAGATTCCTGATGGGACGGAATAAATTACAAAATACAGAGAGAGGGAAAAAACTGATTTTCCTGCAGGGTCTGAATGTTTACCATCCTAAATTTACCAATTGGCACTCAAACTGAGGGGGGGGATATGCTCCATAATGTGCCAAAGTCATTTTATCATACCGAAATTCAGTGCAACAAAAAAAGCACACCTATGCATAACCACTCATATATTATTAACCAAGAACACATGTTGCCCTGAGACCATTTTCACCAGGTTTGTGTTTGTAACTGCTCCATGAAGTGAAAAAAAATGAAATGAATTTTAATTGTGCAATCAATGCATGTCATGCACTCCAAAAAAAATGCTCTCTCATTCTTATACATCTTATTTTCCAGGTCTGTGCACAATAGCAGTCCTTACACTTTCGTCTGAAGTCAATGAACATCACGCATGAAGCTGGAGGAAAAAAATCACTCACCTCTTGTGACAAGAATGGCATGATCTGAGCCAGAATTGCATTGAGACGTTTGGCGATCTCAGTCTGTTGGAGAAGAAAGAGGACACATTAGGACTCTGGTGCTTCAGTGTACTGCTTGCCACAGACAACATAATAATGGAGCAGTTAAATTACTTTTAAAACACAGGGGGAAATGTTTGCAGCGTCCATCTGGACAGATCATGTCTTTCTTAACTAAATTGGGATGGCCTTTAAACAAATTTACCTCCCTCTCTCTCCTGCCTCCATTAGATTCAGGCCTTATTTCATTAGCAGGTTGAAATATGCTAATACCATCTGGCTGTAGAGACCATAATGAGGTCCATACTTCATAATTACAGCCCATAAAGAGGGGGGTGGGGCACACAGGCGGGCAGGTTAACTCTCTGGCCGTATCTATCAGAAGCATCCCTGTATCGACCCTGGAATATTAGCTGGGACAGTAAGATGATACTGCAGCGAATCACGAACATAGAGCACTTTACGGAGCTGCATTCAGACAAATGGATCTGCTGTGCTGTCTGCCTACCGCACTCGAATGTCCCAAGACATTTGGCCCAAACCCATTTCCTTTTTTAAAGTCTGTCAGCTCTACGGAGAGAGGAGCTGGAGGAGGGGAGAATTACAAAAGTAGAGACAGAAAAAAGAGGGGGAGTGGTGGGGAGTGAAACGCTCTGATTTGACACTAAGGTAATGTAGTTTGACTGAAGCGAGGGAGGTGAACTAATTGATTCTGAGAGATTAGGGGTGGAGGCCCAGCAGGTGTGTGTGGGGGGGACTGAGGTCCTTCCCGCTCTTTTTTTTTTTTTTACATCACTGCATTCCCCTCATTTTCTCCTTTAACCTTTTTTGACTGTGAAAGGATGAGGGAGGAGACAGAGAAGGGGAAAAGGGACAGGAGGTGCCAGTAGCCCTTTGCTCAGCTCTCTGTGTCACTCTTTCTAAGTGAAGGAAGGACAGGAAGGAGGGGTGGAGGGGGCAAACCTTTGCTGGCCTGTCAGGAATTATCTCACAACCCCCCTGTCTGACCTTAGACGCACTGTGCATTCTTTCTTCGTCCAGCCGTCCCTCTCCCTCCTCCTCACATCCAAACACTTCTTCACACCCCTTCCTGCTAATCTCCACTCCTCTCCTCTGAGCCCTCCCTCCTCCTTCCTTCTCCTCCTCTCTCATCTTCCCCCTCTTCTGTTGCTGGGGCAACGCTATCTGGCACGGCTGATCGTTATGTAAATTGGGCTGGGGCCCTGACCAGAACAGCCTGTAAAATCATATTAGGCGCAGCAAAGAGGCAGGTCATTAAATTGAATTTTCGGCCTGTCGATCTGATCGGCACGGGAAATTAATGAGGGATAACTGGGAGCAGGGAGGTGGGGAGGGGGCCGTACTCGTGGGGAGGCTGAAAGAAAGAGAAGGAGGGAGCTCTGTGGAGACTCATAAAGCATCATCATTAGCGGGGGCTGGATACAATGACACACAGTAGGATTAGAGTGTTTCAGTATCACACCACTTCTCTGGAAATGGCTGCAAGGGGAGCAACATGGGGCTTGTAGAACACAGCAGTGTGCTGACACACACTCTGCTATTAGCAGCAACATCGCTAACCCTCACCGCAAACCAACTCACAAAAAAGCACCCATTTTTTCAGAGCAATCACTACTGCAGAACCGCCATGTGGAGTCAAAAAACAGCCATGGAATCCAAAAGTACTCTGGAGATGCTGAAATGTTCAAACACACAGGTGTTTCTTCTAACAGGTGAGTTTCAGCATCACGTGTGTTGGAGCTGCTATCATACAGAGTTGAGCTTATGTTGTTTATTCCCCAAGACACGGCTTCCTCTGACAGTTGTGGTAACATTTTTTTGGTGCAGACTACCTTCACAGTTTTCACTTAATGCATAAGTTAGTCATATCATTCCCAAACATCACTCTCACATCTAGCTGACAAGCAAACTATGAACCCTTTTTTGTAATTGCCACCTTCATCAACCACATCTTTGTAAAGAAGTCCGTCTGCTCTGTTCAGACATGTTCACAGAGTTCAAACGGGCATACTGCTTATTTACACGACTTTTCTTTTTTCTACTGTCATTTTGAAGAGAAAAAATACTCGCAGCACATCACATCCAATGACTAGCAGTACTCTTAAATGACTCCCACTTTACTATGGAGGCTCTATTTTCTACAGTGCTTTTAGCGGCAGAGACAGGCACTGGAAAGAGTTTATTGTCACTTAAAGCCACTGAAAACAGAAGCCTTTGAGCCGGCAGAAGCTTTTCACTGCAGCTCCACAATAACAGGTACTCAGGGTTGTCTAGTAGCACCACAGCTTGGAGAGGCTCTCTCTCCATTGCATCCCTCTGTCAATGGTGCGTTGAAAGCCATTTGGCTGTTTGTCGCTGCAGGCATTAGCCCCCAAGTAGAAAGCAGAGACTCTGACGAGGATTCAATTGGCGAGGAAAACAAGTGGCATATGACGGGGGGAGGGGAGGCAGAGATGGGCTGTTTGGGAATTATCTTCTCAGCCAGAGCAGAGGAAGAAAGAGGCACTTAGAGGTATCTTGTTCATTACGAATGCATGAAGAATATTTTGCGTGTGCATGTCTTTCTATTTTGAGCTCATACTCACAAAACTGTACTGACATCCTTTTCTGCAGGGGAGCGTACGGAGATAAGCTGTTTTCCAGCAGATTACATCTGATTCAAACTATCATGTAAACAATATTTTAAAGCTATCACTGGGAACTATATAGTTTATATGTACACACAAGCACAAAGTACTTTTTTTTTCTTTAATTAACCACATCATCACTGACACACAAAACTATCATCTGCTGCCTGGTTGAATACACACCAACACAGAGACACTAATTGTGTTACACTGTTCCTAGCAGCCCTTGTAGCCCAGCTATCAAAATCCAGCATGTCTCACAGCCTCCACTAACCTCGTCAACCCCCCTCCAGAGAGAGAGAGAGAGTGTGTGTGTGTGTGTGTGTGTGTGTGTGTGTGTGTGTGTGTTCTCGTAGTCAGTTTGTTTTGGCTTAGAGACAGGTCGGCCATCATCACCTTGGCAAACAATTCCAGGAATCCTCTATAAATTATTCATTTGCACAAGCTCCCTCTCTCTTCCTCCCTCCCTCTGCTCTTCCTCTCACCCTCTTCCTCCGTCTAGGAAACGAACATGACCCCCCTAGGATAAAGCACTTGATCTGTTTCCCTTGTTTCATTCAACAAGTGAGAAAACCGATACAAAAAATTAGAGATGTTCAGATAAAATTTCATTCACCTGAAAACCAATCCTAATGGCTCGCTTTGAGAACTTGCTGATGACGACGCCCCTCAGATAAAAACAGGATTAAAACAATATTGAGGAGAAACGCTGCTTACATTTGGCAAGCCTTGTCAGCATTACTCTGAAAGTACTACACTGTTGATTTTTGTCTCACAATTATCTGAACCAATTTGTTTTAAAGCCTTTTTGTTGTTGCTGCGGGTAAGTGCATGATTGAAATCTGGGCTTTCAGCTTTGACACATTCATTCTTATGTAATTAGGGTCAAATCAGCGCATTTCTTTCTTAATTCACATTTGATTTGTTCGCTTTTGGCACAAGGCAGGCGAGCCACTCCAGCATCTTTCTGCATCCTGCTGCTGCCTTGATGAATTACAACTAGACCACAATGCTTTTGATTTGCACATTTCATTGTGACTCCCTGGAGGCCTATTGGACAAGTCAGAAGTAATATGCACTTTGAGTCAAACAGAATTTAAATATTAAAGTAATTCAGGTTTCAACGACCACCTACAAGACTGTTGTCAGCAGGGAACCGCATCACAAAAGCTAGGACAGCACTGTTTTATGTCAGTGGTTATGTCAGGTACACAATCGAAGAGGCTACAGCCTTCAAGTGGGCAGCCCAGGTTGATGTCCAGCCTACAACCTCTTTCTCCTGGGTCACTTCCTCTCTACCAGTTTCCTGCTCTATCCACAGTATCTGCCACATCTAACAAATGTTTACAGGTCTTAAAAATGTAACTGTAGATATATGTTTACTGCTTTACATTGTTCATACAGACCTGAACTGAATTTACCGATTAATATCAAATATAAAAATTAATGTATCAAAAGTCTAGCCATAAAAAAACCTCATCCTAAGCTGGTTTGAAACGACACATCATGGCTCTTTACACAAGTGAATAGGCAACTGTAACAGCAGTCTACAGGACCTGTTGATGGTTGACTCTCTCTAGAAATCTATTCTTGTACATTTGCTTTCAGTTCATCAAAACAGAGAACTGAAATCAAAAACCCAGACAAGCTAACAAGAGATAAACAGGGACCACAACAGAGAGGAGAAGCAGTGAAAAACAAAGCAGCCCACACCACAGAGTCAGCAGGGCATGTTGCTGAGGCAGCCTAATGAGCTGCGCTAATTAAAATCACTTATTGACAGCGAGCGAGGGTGATTACCTCCACCCTACACTCTCTGCCATCATAAGAGACACTGTCAAAACAAATTACCCCCCAGCAACCGCACACATCCCTCTGCTAGCAACCATTCAGATCAACAGCAACGGGGTAGAGGAAGTTGTGTGTGTGTAAATGTGTGTTTATGTGTATAAAGACAGAACTGGTAATACCATTTAAAGTGTGCCAGTCTTTATTGATATGTGCGCGTGTGTGAGTGTGATTCTGCCCATTTGCCTGGCTTTCAATCCAGCTTTGGAGCAATAACAAAACAAAGTGGGTTTATCATGTCTTTCCCTCGCACGCATAAATCTTCTACACAGGCAGAGTTAATATTCCTGCCTGCATCCAATAATCCATCCCACCCACCACCCCCCCACCAATAACAGGGACCGCTAAGGGCTGTCTGTTTACCTCTCGCTGATGTCATCACAAACACTCATTCACCAGGGAGGGAGGAAGAAGGGGGGGGCGAGCGAGGGAGGTGGCAGGAGTCATGCATTATTCAGAGTGCTCCGTCGACTCCACCGGGCTTATTGATAAACAAAGGAGATGCACAGGAGAGGACCAGTCGATTAACCCATTTACCCTGAAGCCTCTCACTCCTTTCCTGTCTCCTCATCCTCCTCAACCACCCTCCCCCTCCTCACGCGCTTCTTCCTTTGCTTTGTCCACCGCCACCAGCATCCACCCACAACAACCAGCTCCGCCCCCCAAACCCCTGCATCGCTTCAACCTCCTTGTCGGTGATAAGTGCCTGACAGAAAACGCTCGAGAACAGGGAGGAGGGGGTGAGGCAGTGAGCTCCTTGATAAACAGAAAGCACCTATTTGACACACACACATACACACATATACACACACACGTGCCTGGAGAAATCGTCTAAAGCTGATGAATTGTGCAGTCTGCCGCTGTTCCAACTGGGCCTCCCTCCCACTGATGCCATTAACCTTCTGGATCTGAGGGCCATGCAGCCTCCTCCCCACCCCCCCACCCCCCACCCTCATACATCATATCACACAGCTAATGACACAAGGGCCATCATTCACATCACATCACTGGGGTGGTGGGGCAGACAGAGGGGAAAGCAATGAAAAGACACGAGGGCACGAAGAGGATGGAAGAGGAGAATCATGGAGGCAAAAGGTGAGACGGAAGCCAGGCAGAATCAGAGAAAATGGAAATGTAAGTGCAGAAAGATAAGACAAGGGTGTCTTGAGATCACATTAATCATTTTTTCCTCTTATTAAATGAACTGAATAAAAGATTGTGCGGGTGTCTGTTGATGCAAGAGAAAATGTGGGTGTCACACGGCTGACTAAACAGCCTGGGGTTAGTTCTTAAGCTTCAGAAGTGCTTACAACGGTGACCTGTCATCTACAAAAGACTTCTTTGTAGCATTATGGACTATGTTCTCTTATCATAACAACATCAAAAGTCCACCAGCTCATCACAGCCATCTCCATACATGCTGATTTCTCATTCTGAGGTCACACCTAAATACTTACATAAACACACAATTCATTCATTTTCCTGTAATTAAAGAAATATTCATTTAAACTTTTGACACCCGACAAACCTGTTCAATCTAATTAAAAGTTAAACTAAGATATTCCTTTGACAAGAATAAACAAACACAGAAAAGTTGCTGTTCCTCATGATACGGAGCTTGAACTCAGTTTGGTTTTCATTCTTGCTTTTGTTTTGTCAAAGGTCAAATACAGTTTGTCTATTTCTGCCACAACTTCTGTTTGATACACAACGAAACAAAGGGACAACATGCAGTGGAAATACTTTTGCACCACAGTGTCAGAAAGCATTAAAATTTTCAAGCTTTAAGATGCCAAAAAAACACAGAAACTAATTCCCTAAAGGGGGGGCACTTATTGTCATCGAGAAGAATATCGCATCCCAGCAAACACAGATCCTCACCAGATCTCCTCAGCTCTCAGTGCCCTGCTCTGGGACACTTCAGCAGTGTGACTTTAGTATGTAGGTTAGAGCCACCTAGCACCAAAACTAACTACCAATTATTAGCCATTTTTAACCATAAGCAATACAGAAAGAAGCAGGGTGTGAAACCCTGTTACTATGACTACTGCAAAGATGATTTAAACATATCTACCCCCAGCTTCCCCCATTACCCCCTTTTCCCTCCCCGTCATGCCTCTAGTGTACTGAATTGGCTCCTTGGGTGGTGTAGAGGAAACTGCAGATATTTTTTGCCCCATTCATCTGTGGAAGTCTTTCCACTGCAGCATGATGCCCAATGCTGGGTGGCAGCTGAACTAATGAGCTTTTAGCCCTGCTGGCACTGGGGAGGCAGACACAGAATAGTGCAGGCATATGTGCACGCACACACACACACACACACACAGTCAGAAGGACAAACCACACAGAAACACATCCTCTCAGACAGTCTGCCAAATACTTTACTTTAATCTTATCAAACCATCCACATCAGGCAGCGTGCCCTCTGTGTTGTTGAGCCTGTCAGCGTTTTCACTACAGAAAGCCAGTATGTGTTTGCCTCCTAAAGCCATTTAAGGATGAGGGTAGACAGCGAGGTCAGGTATGTGTGTGTGTGTAGGTGTGTTTATATTCCTCAATCACTAGGGGAGAAAAAAACAGCAGTGTTTTGGCTGTACACACACATACTCTGATATGGCTACATACCTGTTTGTGCATCTCAATGTTGAGCCCATAGGACATCTCGTAGTACTGTGAAAAGACAAAGAGAAATCATTATTACATTCAGTTTTTGGTATGCAATCTTATTCAGAATTAAGTAAGAAATTAGAAGCAGAATTGACCCCATTTTTGTATCTGTTAGCATTTACCGCATGAGCTTTCTAAATTGAGCAGAAAATAACAGGAAATTCAAGAGTTTTCTCCGCAGATGAGAAGAGAATTTGTTAGAGCAACAAGACTCGCAAACACGGCAATCTTCTGATCCAACATCTTTATCAGACATTATATCTGGACCCAAACTACAAAAGAGACAAGCTGAATACTTTCTGCAGCACACACGGAGAGGAGCTGTTGAACACACCAACATGATCCAGAAAAGTTGACAACTTCATGGTCTCTGTGAAACCACAGTCGACAGTCAACAGGCTACTGTACTCATTACTTCTACCACACACTGCCAGTTTCTGTGCCACAGACAGTTTATGGCATCAAAAACCCAGCAGAGAGCCAATACTATTATTGAAAGCAACATTATCTGCTTTTGATTGCCAAAAAGCTTGTGAGCCCACCAACAGAAACAAGCTAATGCCGAGTAGTTTGTCTGTCTTGTTTATCAAACACACAGCTAACAGCTTCCATTTATTATAACTACTCCCACCACCTTCTGGTCCCTCACAGGGAAAATAATATTTAACAAACGTACTGCTGCGTTTGGTTAAACTCATTCCTTTCATGTACAAACAAGATAAGCATGCACATTCACAAACTTACAGCAGGGTCTGAGTTACATCACATCTTAGATAAAGACTGTTCTTTTTTCATGCACACAATGCAGCTTTTCCTGTGTGAGAAGGAACCTTTGTGTTGGGGTTTCTTTGCAGAGACATGATTTTCTTCTTTGTCTCCGTTTGATCATCAGAAAGCTCTGAACTGAGTGGAATGTATTTTAATTGCAGTGCTGGGACAGTTTTAAATGTAGCCCCTTCATTGACCTACAGCACTTCTCTGATTTATCTCCAGAAAAGATCGAAAGGATAAAAAAGTCACATACATCCTGTGCACTGACTTTACCACAGGTTCTGAATGTTGTTTCGCTGTATAGATGTTTATTACATAGGCTTTTAAGGGAATTTGTCATTTTATTTGCTCCTTACATTCTTCTTTCACCAGCTGCTGCTTATTTCTTCTATCCAATTACTTCATAAAATAGAGAAAAGACTTTCTGAATTGTCCAGGGTACAAAGAGTCTTGTTTTTTCTGACTAAAACCGAGAGGTATTCAGATTTTTTTTCATGACAGAAACGGATAGAACAGAAAATTCTCTTATTAAAGTTGCAGGAACAAGCAAATGTTTCATATTTACCTCTGAAAAAATGACCTAAACCGGCTTTAGGGTAGTAAACCAATTATATAACTGGATAATTTAAAATCACATCACTTTTGATCCTACAAAAGTGGATTCAAGAATCAAGTGCTACTCAAATTTTTTATCCTGTGTGATTTAAAACAGGTGAAAACATGTTATCAAATGCAATAAGCATAAGGTGACATATGTCTTAAGTGTTAAATAAAAGAAAGGAGAACCAGAATCAATTGAGGGTAAAAAAAACATCTTGCTAGCTTTAGTTTACTGATAACACCTGGCCCTGGGTAGTCTGTCAGTTATTTTTATTGTTGGAGGAAAACCCACTGTGAAGCCCCTGGGTGTGTCAAAGTGTCTGAATGACCCCGTGGTTCGCCCTGGGGGAGTTGAGGTATAAAAAAAACATGCAGGAAACCCTCTGATTCATGCACAGAGCCGACAGACCAGTCATTAACCCCCAGTGGGTCGTGTTGGGTGTGTTAGGGAGGGGTGATGGGGGTCATAAAGAAGACCCCAGAGCCGTAGAGGGGGGGTCATCACACACCCCACAATCAATGGTTGGACATTTGACCCCTGCTTGAGTTTCAACCCCCTCCTCCACACACCCCCACTCTGCACCTTCTTACCCAATGAAAACACAGGCGTGACTCAACAATACCACGCAGGGAGAAATGCTAACATGGCCTTTTGCAAAACACCACCTGTGACTGTTCACCTGAGGCTAAAGGGAGGATACAGCTTTAAATCAGGTTCACAGCTTCACAATGACTGCTCTTACCATGACGTAGTGGCGCTGCATCTCTGTTTTTTCGTTGGCCAGTTTGTCGTACTCCACTTTAAGACTGTACAAAGAGAATATGAAGAAAATTAACTTGAGTTAAGCTTGATATACTGCAAGTTCAACACCTTCTACAACCATGCAAAATAGAATCAGAACTGGTCCACTTATGAGAGGAACAACAAAGTAGATTTTTTGTGTGTGAAGCATTAAAAAGGGAGCAAAACAAAAGCAACTTCCCCTTCCTATTCTTTCCAGGAAGTTCATGCTGTTTACAGAAGGCTGATCATTACCTGTGGTACTGCGCCTGCAGGAACTGAAACTCGTCTTTGATCCTGTCACAGGACTCTGCCACTGTGAACTTGAAGCCAGGCTGCCCCGGCTGGTGAGGTGCCTGTGAAGGTGCAATGATAAAGAAACCCCAGGTAAGAAAAGCATCACAGGAGGGATAATAGTTAATAATGGCTTGCATCCTCTTCTTTCGAGGTAAACTGCATGTACGTGAGTTTTTCTCTCGACTGTCTGTCCATTTCCCCTGAGCCCTGACTGCAAGAGCAAAGCGCTGCTTTCACTCACCAACATGTGTAAAGACAAGAGAGGTCATTTTATCCCTTCACAGAGTAATGCTACTTTAAAGCACAATTGTAGAGATGATTTTCTAAAAGCATACTCCAAAGTTTTAGGAATCTTCCACATTTAACACTTAAGCTGTTAAAATATGCAGCTCTAACAAACCACACTGTATAAATATGCGATTTTATAGAAGGAAGTGATGATCTGCATGCAACAAAAGCTCTGATCTTTCACAAATGAACACGATCCACCACTTTCTTTCATGTAGAGTGAAGCGTCTCAGCTGCAGGAGTACAGACCATAAATAGTAAGGTGTGGATGAGCAGCTTCACTCTGAAGAGCTAATTGGGCTTCTTTGAAGGGCGGTGTATTTGCATCAATTTACAAATAGTGACATAGACAGCTACTTACCGGATGCCGGCCTTGTGGATACATGTCGCGTCCTTTTCACAAGGGAATTCGGTTTGTTTTCTCTATTTCCGTAATCCCAGTGAAGGTGCGGTAGATCACCGCCACCCCCTCCCCTGTGCGCACAGGATGGCGGCGGACAAAGCCCTGCTCTCGGCTGCGAGGAGCACAATCAGACCCCAACCACTGGATCTTTCACTTGGTCGTTTTTAACCTAAACAAATACAACAAAGGGCCAAAGCTGAGGATTGCGACCAGATTTGCAGCAAATTACAGAGACATCTTGGTTAGGAACCGTGGGGATATTACAAGTATAATGAATTTAATCGGACTTGTCTAGTATCTGTTACTTCATAAAATAAGATTAAAGTAGTTCATCTTCATTGTGACATTTAATTTACAGCACTTTAGGATTTCTTTGTGAAAAATCAAAATCAAACACTTCCATTTGCATAATAACGCAGAAAAATGTGTTTGATCCGTGGTATCAAATACATCTCAAAGTTGATACTTTCAATCACACACACCCTCACCGACATGAAGGTTTGTTGTTTTCTGTTTTTTCTTCCTAAATCTAATGAGTTGTCTGCCAACAAAGGGAACAAGAACACACAGAGCTGCTTGTTTTTGGTGGTCCGGGAAGATCAGAAAACAAGGGGCTGCTGTTTTCAAAGTCGGCTGCCATAAAGCCACACCACCACCACCACCACCACCACCACCACCCGTCTTGTTAGCGGCTCTCTTCATGTCGCCCTTTTTACCTTTGTCTGGTCTGATTCCTCCTCTCTCCTTTGCACAGGTAAAAAAAAATACAGTTAGATCCAGACACAGCGCGTTATATCCGTGACTTGTATCCGTCACCACAAAATAATACGGGCGGAAAATGTTCGCCGTCGTCGTTTCTATTTTCCTCCACCGCTTCTTTTCCTCTGGAGAGTCCTTTAAAACCCTGGTGATCCCGAGGCGGAGAGCGTCTCTCCGTCCGGTCGGTCGGTCGGTCGGACGCTGGAAACCCCTCAATTGGGGCGAGTTGTTGGCCGTCCACAACTTCAAAGAGAGCCTTTACTAGATCCCGAAGTGGTACACGAATCTTCAAGTAAGTCCAAAGATTATTTTTATAGCGAATAACCGGGTTAAAATGTCTTGAAAATGTCGGCCGTTGTGAAATACACCACTAGCTCGCTGTTGGGTATACCCAGTTCCTCCGCCGCGCGCTGTACCACACACAGACTGTGCACTGACACGAGGACCCGACTGCCGAGAGAGGGCCCCGTGTAACCAATCAGCTTCTTCCAAGGACTTCAGCGCCGTTGGCCAATCACAATCATCCATACCCCACGTGGGGGTAGCAAAGTTACTGGCGTTCTGATTGGGTCGTAAAAGTGTGACCTCACATGTTCGCCATTTTGGATTTGAAGTGACATTCAGTGCGTTCAACAGCTTGTTCAAAACAAAGGCAATAATTTATAAGTCCGCGAATTACAGCTGCTGCTTCTGCGTTTCAGATAATGAGGATATAAGTGGGAGTATTATCATTAAAAATCGGAGGATTCAAGCACACTTTGCGGTTGTAAACAGGAGATCAACCGCAGCAGACAAAGATGGTATATATCATGTTTTCACCATTCACCAAGCAGGTGGATTTACATTTTTATTTGTGCTTTAAGAGTTGGTAACAAAAAGGGGAAGCTATGCCAGCTGTTACCAAAAGTGTTCATTAAAAATCCGAAGATCACACTTTCTACACCAAATTCAAGCTGAGGTAAAGCTGCCAAGAGAAAGAAATCAGCTCTGTTACTATGCCAAGAAGAAAAAGGAGGTCGTAGAAATTCATTCAGGACCCGAAGTGTTCAGAAGATGACAATACCGCTTAATCTACGGCAGAGTGTCCTTTGAGTGACTTGAATTGATCGACCTATTTCTAACGAGACCTCAAGCATCTACAAGCTTTCCTATCAGCGGCACTAGGTGGGCTACAACACGTCTGCGCGTGAAGAGATCAGCCTATCAAGCGTTGCCCACTATGCTCGTCCCCACGTGGGTCCTCTCTCCCGCCTTTCCACAGCGTATCGACCAATGGCGTGAGCGCTGTCTCTGTAGGAGGCCTGTGATTGGCTCAGCGCTGGAAAAGCTGTCAGTCAGGAGCGGTGGTTGTCAATTAAACCCACGTTGGGTCCGGCGCTGACAAATGCCTGTGCTACTCTCCCTCCTGCCTGCGAATAGAGCCTGGAATGGCTGCTTAATTAGCTTCGAATGGCTTTTCCTTTCAGCTCAAACAATCTGTCACTACCATGTGGTAAAAAGAGCCCTGCATAAAACAAAAGCAGGAGAAAAAAAAGCCAGTAGGGGCTAAATATCAGTTTGATCCCCCCCCTTCAACCCCTCCTCCATGAAAACATTTGCCGCAAAACAAAGCTTTTACCTCACTCAAACACTGGCTCGTTACTCTCATCTGTTTTTGTCCTAATTTCTTCTTCTTCTAAAATTATATTCATTTATTAATCACCGTTTCCACTGAAGTTTCTTCACGTCTAATTTATTAGGATAAGGTGACTGTAGGCCCTTAAAGAAGTTGATGGTTTGGTCTGTTAACATGATGGCCTAATTCATCTCTGTTTCGAGTGATCAGGATGTTATTAAACGCTGCTGGTGGTATGCTGGTTAAAACGACAAAAAAAAAAAAAAAACATACAACAGGCACTTTGACCTTACTTTAAAAATGGCTATTTTCTTTTTAAATTTCACTGTGCCCAATCTGTTAAATTTCTGAATTTATGCAGTTGTGTATTTATTTATGTTCCAGCCCAAGGCTTATATAAGTGTTTCTGCAATGCAGTCAGAACCGCTCGTGGACTTTTTGAATCTCAGACCTAGAACTTAATAATGTATTATTGTAGGCAAAACAAAGGGCCAAAGAGTCAAAAAGTATAGTCCTCCCAAATTTCAAACATTACTGAAGCTAGCATGCTGCGAGCTTTAGCTGTTGCTTAGCAACAAATGTATCCCTCCTGCAGATGCTCTGACATGAGATGGGATAATAACTCATGCACCGAGGGCATGTCAGTGAGCTACGCTCTCACTAGGAGATTTTAAAGGCTTTTATTCCACACAAAACTTCCTAAATGAAACTTTTTAAAGCTTAAGTTTTAATCATAGTAGTTTGAGTAAGAATGGGCAATAAACAGCGTGAGCAACTCGGACTTCTAAGGAGCGCCCTGAAAGAACCGTACTCAGGTTTTGCTTCTTCTATGCACCTGAATCAGCACTTATAGAGCTTTGACTCACTTGAGATAATATAAAGGTTAAAAGTTGTACAGAAATGTATAATGATCAGTTAAGATAGTATAAAGCTTAATAGTTGTACAAAAATGCGTAGTGATCAGTTAATATAATATAAAAGTTTAATAGTTGTACAGAAATGCATAATGAAGTGGATTGTTTCAGTTTACCGGGAGGCCACCTCTGCTCCACCTTTATGTCTGTTTCTAGGTTGATGGAAATTTAGCAGAATTAGTCAGCAGATACTTTACATCAAAGCACCTGTCAATGTTGTGCTTCAACATGAGTCTCCAGAAACCATTGAGTGATGTTATGCTTTATACAGTCTAGGGTCATGGCTTTGCCCAAAAGCAGTGAATATTACTAAAAAAGGTTGCATAAAACCTCATTAAATGATCCAGGCTGCAATATGTAGTTCCAATATTTTAATATTTTTAATAAATTCTAAATTAAAAGGTACCAAAAAGTCCATTATTAAGAGTCTCTTTTCATAATTTTCCGCAAAAGATAAAAATCCACAGGGATAATTTCCTCTCTGTCTTTCATGCTTTGACCTTTGACCCTGGCTACACATACTTGCAAAATGAAAGTGTGATGGTTGTATGTTTCAAGAGGAAAGCTCAGCGACAAGAATGGATACATGTGATCAGGTATCACTGTTACAAATCATGCGACAAGTCTGAAATTAAACACTTTCATACTTATTCAAACAGACAAACTTTTTTTTTTTCTGTGATGATTATAACTATTCTTCTTTTTCAAGTGCTAGATCCACTTTGGCATTCTTACTGTCACCAAGGATAATCGAGACACCTTCCATGTAAAGGTTAAGAACTTCGTCTCAATAGTTCCAACATCTTTTATTAATATTGTTATTAAAAATGTGAAGTTTGTCAAATACCAAGACATAGCTACAACTCTTTCAAACTGTTTGGTAATCTGCAGTATGTGAACTAAACCTGATCTTCTATTCATCAGGTTTGTGTTTTATGCAGAGTTGTTGGTTATTGTGTTGATATTTGTCGGTTTGCTCTCACTGAGGATCCTGGGATTGGTATGTGTGTGGGTCCAGCAGTGTGAGGATGTGGGTTATCTGGGAACCAGCAAACACAGCAGCGGTCTCCTCAGACCCTGAGACTCTGATTCAAGAACCACATACAAACAGACATTATCATACAGCTTAATCTCACTCACTGAAGACCGTGGACATGCCTCTCTCTCTCTCTCTCGACTCTCACACACACACATCCACTTTTCTGCTCACTCAATAGACAGTGGCCTAGATTAGGCAGCAACAAAGGAGTGGGCTTCACCTCTGGGATAAGGAGGGGGGGTCCACCCTTGTAGACCTCTGCACTGTTTATTTGCACTGGAAACCCAGACGCTGTGAAACTCCCACTCTGAGGCGCTACACAAATATTGGGGCTATTTGCAGAGGTGGTTTTAATTCTTTACTGAGCAATGATTGGCTCTTTTCATTACCATCCCTGCAAGAGCCCGGTCGATGGAGTCCTCCAACTCCTTTTCCCTCCTTCCCAACTCAAACCAGTCCCAATATAAACATAACTGATGTATATTTTTAATAGCTTTAGTGGCCACTGAAGACTCAAATCTCATTTCTTCTGTGCATGGTATCACATTCTCTGCTCAAACAAATCCCCAAACCACAGCTTCTTTGCAAACCAGCGCTGGTTCTGGTTCCTGCTTCTGCTGTATATGAGGATCCTGATACTTCCTGAGAGGAGAAACCTCCACTGTGAAAACAAGGAGGAGCTTCACAAAGCAATAAAGCTGCTCATGAGATGTTTAGTGTGATGTGTGATAAAGTTTTATATGGAGAGGGAATGTATTAAGATAAGATACTCCTTCATTTGTCCCACAAGGGGAAATTCCCTTCTACAGGTCATCCCGTCCAAGACAGGAACTGGAGAACTGTCAGGTTTCATGAGTGATTTGTTTCTTGTGTAAAAAAAAGTCCCATCTTTTGTGAAGTTGTTAGGTTGTCAGAGTCAGTATTAATTACTTCATCCTTATAACAATTCCTGTCATTTTTCCTCAGAGGAGTGCATCATGGGAGCCTCGTGGTCTGGGTGGTGGGATGGTCGCGGCAGTGTTGTGAAGCACCCACTGACGAGGGATTATTGACATGCTTTCACAGGCGAGTTCAGGCCATGAAAGGAGACATTCCTCACCACAATGGACCCAGTGTGTGTCGCGGGGGCTGCAGACATGAAAAGGGGCCCCCGAGTGTAACACTGTGACTCGTCAGACTGTAATCAATGCAAACAAAATGAAAGGGCCTTATCAAAAGAGACAAACACAGACATGAGAAGGGTCTGGACAAAAACAGTGAAGGCTAAAGTCCATATATGTGTTTTTATTGGTGGCTGGTGTTTCTAACATATGCATGTGTGCATGGACGAGCAAATAACGAGGTTTAACACAGGAAGTTTTTCTCTGATACTATTATCCACTGAGTATCTAAGGTAGCTTGGGCTGCCTGGCAGGTAGATGTAGACCTGTGCAAAAATATTCTCTAAGTTGTATTTGATTCATTAACAGAGGAAGTGAGTCATGCAGAGCTGTATTTCAAACACAGAGAGGATGTTGTGGAATTTCTTGTTTTGAAAATCCTTCCTGGTGATCTGCTGTAATCCCCCCAACCATTTGAAAGAGCGCCCCTTCCTCTGCAAAGAAAACCTGTGAGGAGTAAGCTCTTTAAAAACACAGCTGTCTATCAGGACAGATTGTTAAGGTACGAAAGATAAACAAGAGCAGAGAAGTGAGGAGAGACAGGAGGGCCCCTCAAAGTGCCTCAACAAATTTTCCTTTTGTTTCTGTCTGTTAAGAAGCTCAGATACTTCATCTCAGAGCGAACAGACTGCCTTATTCATGTACATTTATGCGCATGATGTTCAGGGTTATTCTTGGACATAATTTATACAGCTCTGCAACCCACAACGGTTACTATTAAAAAGAGGGACTACTCAAGTGGTAAACAAATATGATAATGGCATAAACTGTGCTTTGTTTGTTTTTAAATTATATCATTTGTATTTGGATAATTTGTTTTTTATTTTGTAAAAAACAGCTTCGTGTTAATGCGGGTTATCTGAAGTGCTGTTTGGACCTGTTGCCCTGGTATGCAGGTTTAAGCACATAGCAATCTGAGTGTTTGTTGTACTTGCCGCGTTAATTTGAAAAGAGTTCACAGTTGTTGATATCAAAAACATGATTGAGTCTTTTTTTCCATGGCGCTCTGCTTAGCAGTAATGAATTCAGAATAGCTCTGCCTCTGGCGCTGTCTGTGATTAATAAGCTCATTTAGTCGGCACTCGTTGTGACCAGGTCTACAGGCCGGCCCGCTGTAAGGCTCTTTAGTGGGTTGGTGTTATTTTTTGTGATTACCGTCCAAGTGGCTGCTGTAAGAGGCAGGTCAACAGAGAGACCTGATCCTGTCCTTCAGCTGAGAGGGAACCCAGTGATGACTGTGAGGCCCTCTCTGCCTTTACCAAGTGAATGATAACACACACAGGGAGGTGACAAGTACCCCTTGTACTACTGCTACTGCCACCGTGAAAAACAGGACAGAGCCTTCTCCAACAAACCCTGTCTCTCTGGAATTAGGTTCACTTATCACCTGTACTCTACTCTTCATAAATATTTAAATATGAATGCTTTTTTGTACTTTTGAAAAATGATGTCTTTAAATAAACTGTCAGTACTTCTGGAAGGTGGTGATGTCTCAACCATATAGACCCTTCACTCAGCCAAGCCCCCTGCACAGCACACACTGACCGTATTACTTTTCAAGGTGGTTTGAACCTGTATGACAGTCCAATATATTCTTTTTATAGAACACAAAGATATTTTCTGCCAAACCTAAACATTTGTGAAGCCTTTTTTCACTGCAGACTGTGGCTCAATCAGACATAAAACAAAGCAGGTTTTTTTTTTTTTTAAAGAAACCTCTGATAAAATCAGGACTCTCTGTTCTTTTCGAGCTGCAAAGAGGACAACTCTAATCAAGATGGTGAGACGGCTCTGGGTACTTTAAACCACAGACTAGGGATATCTTAACTTCAAATGAAACACAGGCAAAGTGTAAAGTATGGGACTTTTGATAAAACCGATGTCTTATTCATGCTGAACAGATGAACATTATCTCTATCTGGATGATATCAACAGGGAACAGTTTCTTATACATGACTGTTTTTTCACACTTACCACAAAGGGCAGGACTGGGACTACAGAGACCTGGTTCTCATCCTGAGTCCAGTCCTTGTTAGAGGGAATAAAAGCATTAAGGAAAACATATTTTTCTCTCGTTTAAAGACTATCAAACTTTATAAAGCAAATGTAATTTCACAGAGTTGAGATTCAAGAATGCTCTTACGACCATGAAACAGAGATTTGCAACTTGCCCGATTCATAAATTGACCATATTTCCTCTTTGTGAAAGCAAGGCAGGAAGCCAGGAGGCAGAATTGGGTTTAGAGTGATAGAGAATTTTTATTTTATAGCGCAGATGAACTCCTGTAAGGTCTCTTTAGTTAAGTTCTCGCATGAAGATATTCAGGTTTAGTGTTGTAATGTAGACAAATGACGGTTACCATGGACTACCAACGTAAAGCGGTTACACAGATCAATAAATTGTTCATAATCTGCAGGCGCTGGCACTCAATTGTGTGCTCTTTGATTCTAATTTTAAAAAAGTCTTTGAGAAATCAAGAAAAGGATGTACAAGTATGTGAGAGCAGTCTGACATCTTGGTGACATTTCAAACGTCTTCCCCATGTAATGATCTTTTTCATCAGTCACTCGGCAGGCTACCAGCAAACTGAGTTCATTATGGACCAGAGCAAAATGTGGTTTCCAAGGGAACAAGCCCCTACATGCAGAGCCTCGGGACTGTAGACAAGGTGAGGTGTTCGCACACATATTCACTTCAGAAGGAGCTGTGTAGCATTTATATATGCTTATGGAGGGTATGCAATATGGTACATGGCCTTCTGTGCAGCTTATGTGCATGTGGACCCACTCAGCCCTGAGAGATAAATGGAATGAGGTAAATCAGCGGGGAGATTGCAGCCAGGCCATCGATTTCATGGGTCATCAGATAATACCCGGGCTTGCTCAGCACATGCCCTTCAGCACTAGGCAAAGGCTATCATTTAGCCAGATCAATAGCTCTAATTACCCCGCTCCACCCTCTGCAATAAATTCTGAACTGATCATATTGCCTTCAGAGGAGCCGCAGTAGGAAGTTCAGTACTGCTGATGCAATCGCACTAAAGAAACAGTGTTGTTGATTACATTTTTTATACCCTTGAATTTCATTGTTCCTTAAATGGCAGTTTATACATCACTCCATTTTTCAGACCAACATTGAACTCCTGCTAGAGATTATATGTGAGCGTGTTGCTGTTCTACGTCTACTGAAAGTCTGAATTGCTCCGGCTAACAAAGTGTTGGTGTTACAGAGCTGCTTTGCATAGTGAAGCAAGTTTTCACACAATAAAGGATTCAAGTTGACACAAAATAGTATCAACTCATAGTTAGACATGTTGTTCTTTAACTGGCAATCACCTCACTGATTCACCGAGTCATAAACACAACACACCGTCTTGATATGGCAAAGTAAACACTGGGCTGAATAGAAGAGGACCAGGGACAGAAATGAGATTGTCCTGCTGAGGCCAATAGTCCAGTCTGATATGAGAGCACAATTTGACATGCATGTGACTTGGCATTAGCAACCTCATTGTTAAAATGTCAGCAGTGTGGAAATATTTTGATCTAGAAAGCAAAATCGGTCCAACAGCCAATCGCAATATATGCGATATGATCATTTTATAAGGTAGTAGCAGTAGAGCTAAGGAAGTATAGACGGTGTAAGCAAATTTCACCTTCACTGACTTAGCCTACTTGGATTTCTCCTCAGATCTGGCTCAGTCATTAATTCACCTCACACGCTAACACAGACAAACATGTTAATCATGTTAATAACTTTAAGCTGTCCACTTAAAAAAAACAGCGCTGTTGTTGGCGTTATACCCTCCCTCGCTCTCTCTGTCCCTCACCTCAAACATGCTGAGTGCTGCCGTCCTGCTATCAGGTTTCTCCACATTCAGAGCTCTGCAGTGCTCCACTTATCACCGAGGTTGGAACGCTGCCTGCAACCATCACTTTCTGTCTTTCACCTCGCCTAGACAGAAGAACCAGCTCCAACGCTCACATGGTGGCAACTTTAATGTTTACTTAAATGTGTCCAAACTGAGGCTGGTGTTGGTCTGTCTTGGTGGTCGAGTCAGTGCTGTATGTGCAGAGGCTCTTGAAGTGGGCAGGCAGGGTTCGGTTTGAGTCCATGGTCCTTTGCAGGATGTGCTTCTCATTCTCTCCTCGTTCTCTCAGTTGGAGCTGGATATTAGTTGAAGGTAATCATCACTGCAGGATAGTCGGTGTACTTGTCTAGATGCTGGTATTTGCTTTAACTTTGTTAGGGATAAAATTAGTTTTATTTGCTGCTGGCTGTTTCTACAAAACTGCTTTCTGTCGGGTAAGAAGTTGCATTATTCTTCTGACCATAACTTAAAAGCAGTGTTAAATTATAAGTAGGTTTGCAGGTGCCTGCAGGCGTAAAGTGAGTGTTGAAGGTTCCTCTGTCAAGCAGCCACTTAAATGTGTCATCTGCAGTTTTAAATGCCAACATCAAATGTAAACATTTTTTTAATTCATGCCGATCTGGGTCCTCTCAGTAAGTGTGTTTGTGTTTTAACCATTAGTCATCTCCATTTTTTATGTCTGTGTGCGTCTACAAGATGTGCGTATCAGGCCATTAAATGTCCATCATGCTGTGCTGCCCCCATGCTGGCAGGTCCTTGCAATGCAGGCTTGAATCCAAACACATCCAAACATGCCCAGCAGCTGGCCCTAGGGCCGGAGTAGCTGTTTAGCCCATAATAGTGACTGATTAGAATACCAGTAGCAAAGCTGAAGTCAAAGCAGTTGTTGACAGGGCATATTAAGCAAAGTGGGGAGTCCAGCCGTCGGGATTTGATGATGCCACCAGGGAAACATGTGCTGGCCCACACAGAGGCTCTTTAACGCCACAACTCTAAACAGCTGATAACTCTATCCAAGGAGAGTAGAGGAGGTCACTCTGCTTCTCCAACAACACTGCAACAAGAAACTCACAATAAAGTAATGAAGCTCTAGGCTTATACAGAGGACAGCATTAACAGGCTTGATGGTGTTGATGATGATCTTATCATTACCTCCTACAACACCACAGCACTGTGAGCTGCACTGGTTTCAAGAGCCATAGAAAACTGTGTATTATTTATACTGATTAGCTATTCTTATTCATATCAGACCAGTCAAGCTCCTTGGTATCAAATTGACACCCTTCCACAGACAAAGATAATGCACAGAAAATAAAGTATTTGCTGGAAGTTCTTTATCTTCTACTGCAGTCCACATTGGATGCCTTGAAAGGTTGTCCACCACTCCTAGAGCTTGTATTGTAGTCAGCACATGGGTTCTAGGATTGTGATTTTATTGACCTGTTTCAGGTCTTCACTAGTCCCTCCCACACGAGGAGGTACAGTATGGTGATGTAATTCAAATAAAGTCACTTGTGGCTTCAAGCAACAGAGATGGTTGTGGCCAAAATAATCAATAACAGGCCACCAAACCAGTCCAAAAACCAGTGAGTTGAGTCCAAGAGGCCCCGCCTACTTTTTAGATATTGTTGGTTTGGAAACCCCTCACTCTCCATTATTTCCATTACTTTCTTTAATGCTATAAAGTTCCTCTAAAGTCAAGAAGTGCTGTATCTATCAGAGCAGAAACACTGTAAAATATAATCCTGAAACATGGAATGCACTAAAATATTAATGAGGTTTTGGTCTTAGGGGAAATTTAATGTAATTCATTTTGTCATTGACAGAGAGCTATTAGCACCATCCAACACTCCCCCAGAGATCCATCCTCCATGTTTGATTGTGTTTCACTGCTCTACAAAGTGCCACCTCAGTGTAATGAGTTGTTCATAATTTGTCGCCACTCTGCCTCTTTCAACAAAATAACCTTTTGTTCTGCTTTGCCGTCCACCTCACTGCACTCTCCCAGGAAAGGCTTTTAGGGACATCTACTTCAGAGAGGAAGAGCTGCACGATGCATGGAAAAGGAACGTGCGGACACATCTCTTACTTACATTATTGATGCAGAAAATGCATTTAGCTCCAGTCTTTTCAAAGCTAATATTATGTTAATAAGGGAAGAAATCATACGAGATATAGTGCACTTCAGAAAAGGAGGAACACGCGCCCACAAACATTAAAGAGACTAATGTTAATGCACCTTGCTGCCTTTTTGCCCCTGTACCATCTCTTTGATGGTAATGGTCTGTCTGGGTTGATCTGAAGTCAAGGGTGATGCACAAAGGTCTACACTTTTCTCTCCTAAGAGCAACAACAGCAATGCTAACGCAGGAACACTCTTTCATGTGTAATAACCAGATTTACCACAACAATGGAGGTAGTTCAACAACCCTGTAGGAACAGTACAAAATAATTTTACAGATACCTTTACCACGACATGTTGCATCGTCTTTATAGGACTGTAAAGAGCCAATCGCTTCTTTCTTCTTTAAACATACAAAATGAATGTCAAGATAGAAGTGTTTGTCCAGCTTGGAGAATGTGAAAATCACATTAGAATTGTCCAAGTTATTCAGAATAATGAAATCACTTCAACATAGAAACAGTTTCTGTTTGACTGAGTTCCACTGAAGGACGAGTCCCATCTGCAGGGAATAGAGAGTCCGTTGGGGAAACCACCACCGGCACAGAGATGAGGTCCAGAGATTTAGCAGTTCAAAACATCAAGTTTCAGCATATATCCAAAAGGGATAAATCAAGATTGTTACAGACTTACAAAGCATGCATTCATATCGCTGACCTGTCCCATGTATACATGACCAGAGGCTGGTGAAGTGTTTTTGTGTCTTTAGAGAACAACCTTTAAATCTTTCAATAAGTTACTTTACATGAAAACGTGTAAATACCAAGCTAACAACACACAAATGACAGGTTACATTAAATCGTTAAGTGATTGTACTGCTTATGACTGAGGCCAGCCATCGCTCACCACTACAGCAACAGTGGACTAAAAGATGGAGACACACAGTGACTGGAGTAGTCGCACAAACACGGGGCAAGTTACCCCACAAATGAGGATGCTTTTGTTTTGCATAAAATGGTTATCAATGCAGCAAGAACATGAAACAACTGTCAGACTGAGAAGAAATATGAAACGCTGAGTGAAAAAAAGACGATCTTAAAAGATGACTAAGGTTACATTGTTGGTTTCAGGTGTCTGGAGACCTACTGTAGGTCTGCATCTTTTGATAACAACACAACAAAAAACAAACTGATATTATGAAGACCAACAGCTGTTTGAGATTTGGTTTGACGATCAGCAAGCATGTCGACCTCAGTATTAGCTGGTAGTTATAAGCCATTTTTCAGAGCTCTCACATCCATGGAGACAGATTGAAAATGTCTGAAAGGCACAGACATGTTTGACCCAGTGTTAGGAATTTGAATTGTGTCTTACTTTACCATTAATAACAAATCCTCTTATCTGTTAAATTTATGCAAACTGGCATGTTATTGGGATACAAAGAGTCAAGGGACTGATAAAGATATGTTCCTAAAGACCAATCAGATATGAATGAAATTCATCATCACATTCATGTTAATGTATGACTGTTTTCCATCAGCATATTCATTCAAATCAAGCATGTCGAGAAGACACATAATGGCTTTGTGCCAGGAAACACACAACTACACAGCCTGCACATCCTCTCAGCGGACATATGCTCCACCACTGCACTGTAGTCACTTTTAACTAAATGAATATGCAAAAAAAGGCTTTCAGTTCAATCAGAGCACAGAGCTGTCAAGTAGAGAAGATTGTTGCCAGGGGGCTGCACCAAAATTACAATTAAGCTGTCACAGCCAGAGTCAAGAGCACCCTCTTGAAGCCTTTCTCTCATTAATTGGGATTTGGGGAGTACCTGGGTCTCCTTGGTAGCGAGGTTCAAGTGGTTGTTAGTGAATGACAGAGCAACTCCTTGAGCGGTTCAATCTTCCAGGGCTGAGAAGATGAGATTGTTACGAAACGTGATCAACAGCCTCTCAGGGGTCACGATGTGGAGCTTTAGCAGCTACAGGAGTGTGTACTTTACTTCATGCTCTTTGTAGCATCGCTGACAAATATGTTTTAGACACTGAAGTGCCTCTCGAACGACAGACGCTTGTCTCATTCAAAGAGACATACACACACACACACACACTCTCACACGAACAGAGCACCACAGCATCCTGGGTCGGGCTGTTTCTAGGTGGTTTGGCAGCTGATGTCTTTATGATGCACACAAGAAACTATTCTGAGACGAACAGAGGAGTGCTATAGAAGCTGATTGTGTCTTTGTAAATGCTCAATAAAAGAATAATAAGTCTGTGCCATGCTAGCGGTTTTGCGAGGCTGTTTTGAGGCAGTCTGTTAGAACGAACCATTTAACCACTGTGAGATCAAGGTCTGGACTATAAAGGTTTAGGTATTAAAATATTAAAGACAGGTGATATGCTTTCTTCATATTTACAATAAAAATGCAAAGCTGTCCCTTTGGCACACCACAGTTTAGCTGCTGGATTGTTTTCTTGCTTCCCGCTGTCGTCATGATGGAAAACAATGACACCACTGTGCTTTAGTCGGGCACATTTCGCTTCAACAAACTTCCAGGTAGCTCAGTTGTCAGGTGTAATTGGCACTTTGTCACACACGGTTCTAAAATAAAAACAGTATACTTCACTTTGAGCGCCGCATACAGGCAGCTTATTAAATGGAGTCAACCAGACCACAAAAAACCATCAGAGGACTGCTTTTGAAGAGTGCAAATCACCACGGACCTGTCGATGAAATCAAACAAAGATGATCATGATAACCCTAAACTACGTTTCACTGTATTAATTTTGGGCTTAAGCAAAAATATCAGACGGAAAAGCAACTATTAATGCACAGTTGTACCTCACAGTGAACGTCAAATTGACTTTTTCCTCTTTTCCACCTCCTAACTGCTGCAAAGATTATGTGAAACACGGATCACTGAAGAGTATGTCATGCCATTGATCCAACAGTTGTCAAGAGAAGTCACGCAAAGCCAAAAATATTCACTCGCTGCTGGTTCTCTGGAGACCACAACAGTTGAACAAAAGTTTGCGACATCCCACTAAAGAGGTGTCGAAACAAACTATAGACGGACTGAGATTAGCAGGAGATTTGCTCAGGTTGCACCCCAAGCACATTTAAAAAATCTGCCTTGTAAGTCTTCCAGAAGAGGGATTAGGAAACACACTGACACAATGGTGAAGATTTTTTTCCACTTTTAAATATTTCCTTTTAGAAACGAAGCGTTAAGTTTGCATTAAAACGGGATTATTCCTCTGTGTTAATTGGACTCCCCACAAGAAAAAATATCCAACACTGCCTTGAGTCATCCCACAAGGGTGGTTACTAACAGCGTACAAGATCCAAATATAGAAGACATTTGAATTTATAAAGTAAAACTCATACCAAAGGTCAGACTCTCAGACTGCATAAGGAGGTGGTGGTTGAGGAGGGAGGATTTAGCTTTACTGCTGAGCTGTTTTAATCTCTGAGATAACGGGGACAATACACTGGGTCAGGGGGTAAAAACAATTAAATTTGTACTAAACCACGTCTTCTGCCTTGAAGTCATTTAGATGTTCTCCCAAAGATAGTGGTTAATGAGATTAAAGAAGCCAGCTTTGAGTAGCCAGCTGAAGTAGGCGGACTGAGCTGAAGACACGCTGTACTGGCTCACAGAATCAGCAGTGCGGGGATTATTTTATATCTGTGAACCCTCTGAATTTTAATGTGCTATAATTGGCAAATGAGAAAATCAGGGTGAAACACATATGTCACTATTAGTCACACAAAATATTGAAAAATAAGTCAAGGGCATTTATTTGATGATCTATTATACAGGGTTGTGAGCCTAAATTAGAGAGGGATAACTGTTATCTTAAAAGTCAAATCCATCATGGCGTGGATTTTCTTAATACTTAAATTTATGATGCTGGGTTGCAAAAAAAGGTTAAAATAATGAATAAATCTTCTTTGTCTTCCTTCCTCTACCAATCCTCTGCTTGTTATTGTCCCGTACAGTGTGTTCTCAGAGGTGCTGTTGGCCAAATGAAACCTAAAAAGTCTAAGGAAACCCTAACCAGCAATGAGAACTGGAACATACCAGGAACCACAGATATTTATTATGTGGGAGCTGTTCTTGAGCTGTTGTCAGGGGATCCAAAACTCCTGTGGGCGCCTCTGTCAGTGAAGGTACAGCAGCAGCAGCAGCAGCAGCAGCAGTGTGCCTATGTTGATCCATCCTGCATCTGCCTACAGTGCAAAACACAAAGGCTATCTGGTTCTGGAGGCTCTCCTGTGATATATTTTCTAGCTATCAGTTCCCCAAACAGAGTGCCATGGAAAAACAAAAATCACCCCCTTTGGCTCTTTGACTGTTCTTCTACAAGTTTTTGTCACACAGAGGTACAACCAAAACCCCTCCAGGTACAAGACTTCACACAAGCGCTCAAAGGCTGGCAACCGGCACAGGAAGACTTGGCTTCTTTTACAGCATGTGGTGAAAGAACAACATCACTCTTCAGGCGGTGCATTTACAAATTAAAAACCAATGATCAAAAATAGACTAACTAAGAAAAAGAATTAACTTACTGAGATGTGGACCATTGACATTTATAAAAGTAAACACTTTTTAATTCTTGATGAATTACATTCAAATCAATCTGTTACACTTAATGACTAAATAAAGTAATTTTTTCCACTTCAGTCTGAAAGTTGATCATTCCAAAATAACATCTTTGCTGCTGCTTCTCTGATACAAAATATAGACCAGCTATACAACCAAATATTTAGATGTTATGTATATGATTTTAAACCCCATCACACCCATAACTCACATTTATATCTCACTTAGACTTAGTTTGGTGAAGAAGTCTGAAAATTTCTTGCGAAACAGAAATCTCAGCTCTTTTGTCTCACTGTGTGTGCTTTGAAAGCCTTGGAAACACTTAAAACAAAAAAAACATTTAACTCCCCCAAGAGACAAATTAGAACCAATCAAACTATGAAAAGAGACAGAAAAAGCCCAGCACAATATCACTCTGTGTCTGCACAGACAGAAGAGCGGTGCTGGTGTGTTCAAAAATAACAATGATGTGATTCTCTGACTGTCACATGAATTGCACATGATGCTCAAAGTCAGCCGTCATTAACACTCACTCTGTCGGTCCTTGTTTGAATTTTTTCTTGGACATTTTTGGTGTGCTCCTGGGAAAAATGTTTATTCTATGTGATTTAACCATTAGGTGAGATTTGTCTTGTTCTGTTGTATTTAAAAGCTTTTCTACAAAATGTGCAGACGAGCAAACTTCAGGGAACTAAGTCCACGTCTTGATTTCTCAGATAGAGACTGTTAATTGCTTTAATGGTTGCAGATGTTTTCTTCACTACCTGGCTAGCCACCAAAGCCAACATTAGTCTTGTAACAGCTGAGAATCATGCTCAGAGTCTTGAGAGATTGGGTCCTGATCACAGAATGCAGGATAAACAGCTAAATTTTAGTAAAAGAGTTTATAACTTTGAAACTGGGCCATCAACTTTGAGGAAGAGTTTTACGAATCCAGTGTCCTACAGACTGGTGCATTTGCACATTTGATTTTGAGATCTGTAAACAATAGGGATCAGTGTATCATCATATTGTTTAAGTTGGGGCTACGTCAAAGCTGTCATTCCAATGAATTAGGTGTGAATGTGTTGTATGCAGCTACTTTAAGGGAAGTATATAACACAGGACATGCCGATGTTTGTAATGTGACAATTTTTCATTTTCTTGATTTAAATCATACCCTCTTGGAAACCGCGATGATAAATGACCATTTTCAAGTGGCGGTCCTTGCATTTGAGACTTAGTAACACTTTTTGCAACACCTCTGTACCATGTTATCGTCACCTGTCACTGTTCTGTGCATGGTCCCTGACAGATACACAACAAAAAGAAACTAAACAAATGCAACGTACACACTCTTACGGATCTTGATCAAAAAATATTGATCGCAGTGCTCCCCTGTTTCCAATTTAACCCCGTTACACATCCAGCAGTCTAGTGCAATTATGTGACAAGGGTGTTATAACACCTCTCTTTGCTGAGCACCCAGGCTGTAAACATCTTGATGTGATCTGGGCCTGACACACTCTGAGAGTGATTAAACAAATCAACATAAATTAATGAAACTAATAAATCACGGCGCGTGATGGCAATTTTCTCGCTTGTCTTTGCTGATGAAGATCTCTAATACTCTTTCCCTACAACACTTTAATTATGTGCTTGTGCCATGAGATTTCTGTAAAACAACCCCACTCCGACAACGCGACACAAACAAAAGCGGTTATGATGAAAAGAAAGCTGAAACAAAGCTGAGACTTAGTGCTCTGGCTAATGAGATTAATTTGCTTTATGTAAAAACTCACTCATCATGCTGTGTTCCCACAGGTTTTCTCTTATTCATCCAGTTTTTTGAATTTCAATTACACTTCATAACCATCTTCAGTGTCAAAAAAATAACAGCAAGAGCCTCTCAAACCTGGTTTTCAGCCAACACTGACCATCTGCGCTCCACATTTTGAGCAAAGGTTGAAAAAGCCAAGAGTATCAAGGAGATTTTCTTCACGCGCTTCAAGCAGCCAACACATAAAAGGAGAGGATGAAGAAGCACAGGCCCGGTCTGGATAATATTCAGGAGATAGTTCCATTAAAAGCAGCAGCTGACAAGGCGAACAAGCCAAGAGTCTCCTCACTGTCTCAGTCCTGCTTTTAAAGCAGCATTGACAGGCTGAGCTTGAACATAATTGAACAAGCAGCTGATTACATTTACAGCTGAGTGACAACGCACCAGGAGAGGAAATGAAGTCATGAAAGTTTACTCTAAGCAATTTTGTAAATCATTACTCTGAAACCAAACATTTGCTGGCACGGTGCTGAGAGAACCACGCCAAACATCACATTTGGGAAATATTAAGCCGAATTGACGATACATGGAATCCATATAAGCAAACGCGTCTGGATTTCGTCAAACGATTGTGGAGTTTATGGCCAATTTATGAGACAGAGAGTCCCGAGCAACGATGGTAAAACAACCTCAGCATGGCAGAAATGTTGCTCTGTGTTAGGCTCTTGAGAGATGCAGCAGGGCAGGCAGCTGACTTTTCCTTAGATGTCCTCAGCAATACTATAATTTCGTTTCCTATGAGAGCTATAGTACTTAGCCCTGTTGCCAAGGCTGAGTGAGCAGTTTCCCCGCTGGACACCTTAATGAGATCTGTGCAGGTGTCACCATGGTTTCACAGCTGCCTGGAGGTACACACATTAAAAAGACAATGCACAGAAGTGGAAAATAATATCTGCAAAAAAAAAATTCACTCTGAGAATGGATCCTGCTTGAATTCAGGAAACATAGGAGACATAGTGGAGGCTGTTTCCAACACCTCTTCATTCCACATATATCTCCATGAACGACATTGAGAATACTTTAAGTCCTGACACTGCTGAAATTCTACAGCTAGATGCTCAGTGAAGTCGTATAGAGGCACAGAGCTCACTGCGTATGGTGTCTGGAAACTGTATGAAACCATAGTTGACATGATAGCTTTCTAAAACTGAAGTCAAAATATTGGGCAGTTTGCTGCAGTATAGTTCACCAAACCCACCTCCTACATGTAAGTAGATGGGACATGGGTCAAACTCTGGGATCCAAATTCTCGTTGAAAACTTTTTTCTTAATCATGTTTTCTGTCATTTCAATTATTCTCAAAATACTGATTTATATTCAGGAGATTATTTCTCTGAATTGAGTTTCAATGAAGCACCTGATGCTATAAAAGGCGACTTGATTGACAGCTATTTTCAAATAGAGCTCCTGTGGTGCTGAGTATAAGACAGTAGAGCAGCAACAGTAGGTGAGAAATTAACAAACTTTAACACACAGTCAAGTCGAGCTACAGTTATAACTCAATCAGGCGATTTAACTGAACCACTGTCTTTGTCTTGGTTCTCATACACCAGGAAAATACTAAATAATTAACAGAAACATGTCCGCTTTCACTGCGGTAGGTGGAAACATGCCCCCTTACTGCTTGTTTTCATGGTCGTATCACAATTGACCTTTTACATCTCAAAACAGTCAGCAAAGTGCATTAACACGAGGTTGTACATCAATGAAAATACTGTCACTTTCCTTAAATATGTCCACATACTTCTGTTCTTCTGCAGCTCTGTACCTTTTGTTGGCTCAGGAGGAATGTTTTTTGTCCTTTTTTTTGTCTTTGTCTGTTGAAGTTTTTTTTGTTTCTTTTTCTTTCTTCCTGGCCTTCTAGTATTGCATCCATGCTGTTCAACTTACCACTCAAAGCCCGTTCTGTGAATACTGGGGCATACCTAAAACACCCAAACACCAGTCAGTCAGAGTAAGCCATCTACAATAAAATATTTTTTAAAAGTCTAGTTATAGTCGAACTCAGGCAATAAATGTTCAAGTCAAGGAAATCTGATTAGACCTTTTCTGTGACTGTGGTGGGAAGCGAGGAGAGACCAGGGTGTATTTTAAGACTGTTAATGATGAGGATGACGGTTTGAAAAGTTTCTCTCCGTCCAAGTCAGTAAACCCCAGAGGCTTCATTTTGTGAAAAGCTGCATCAGTAAACAACTAAGCACTCATTGTTTCACACAAAGTTTTATAAAAAGGCACAGTGTTGAGTTACATGATGATCAAGTGATAAATTTCTATAAAAAGTTTGAGAGATAGTGATGCGATAAAAGACGCTTTCTTTGTTTGAACAATTGAAATGATTGAATGAGAGGTGAAATAGGTGATCATGACCTTGTAAGTATGTTAATAAGTTATACATGACCCTTTTTGTCATCAGTTTGATTGGGCAGCACTGAAATTTTTCATCCTCTGAGGTTGGGCTTGACAGAAACACCATGTTCAGCAGTATTAGGTTTAGCCAACCAGGCTACAGCCGCAGAAGTTAGTACGCACTGCAAAGCTAGGTGGCCATATGACCATATACTTCATTGTAACATCTTGTAAACGCACCGACTGTTTTGCCATAAACTTAATTATCACATTTTTTATTGGGAGCTCTTGGAGGTAAACGCCAACTTTCAGGGAATCATT